CACGTCAATTGGCCAATGAACGCCTGTGGGGCCTTCGCACATCCAGTCATGTTTGGGTGGCAGGAGACAGGCTAAGCTCCACTGCCGCCAGGTACCGCTGGAAACCTCGCCAAAGCTGTTGAAACCATGGAGGGGCTCCATCGAGATAATTCGTGTTGTCAGGCCGCAATGTGTGCAGATCAAGTTCAGTAGGCACTGCTGGTTTGTTCACCCATCGCGCCTCAAACCCTTCATCACACCACACACTACACCCACACTACACGGGGCCGGGAGCGTGATGTGACCGACGAGCCAAGCCATGCGCCAGGGATGCGCCCTCTGATGTCACAGGAGTGACGCCGTCGTATCCACCCACGCCGGCTGCTCCTGCTGCTGAGCACCCGCCCGCACTGCCGCCGGCCCTACAAACGGTTCCTGTTGTTGGGGATCTAACGCAGCGATGCGGACTCGATCAAGAACAAAGATATTTTCTTGACTCATACTCCCCCATTCTCACGGACTCCACACCACACACTAATCTCACGTCCATTCGGCAATTCATTTGTGTGCTCGACTGCCTTGTCTCGCCGTCGGCTGATTGTTCACCTGGGATGGCTCACGGTCGTCCGCGTGTTCAGTTGTAGATATGTAAATAGTGTATATTTGTATAATGGGGGCTTTGGAATTTATATGGGACCGTTCTTGTGTAATTGTTCGCACTCTCTCGTTAATGAGGCACACTTAATGCGAGTTTTTTTTTATTGTTGTTCACAGAGTTTTTATTGTTAATTGACAGTCGGGACAAGCGACCTTTGATGTAACGCGATAAACGGGATACTTACCTGCACTAACAGACATCCACCAGTAGGGGGTGATGTGTGGAACACCAAGGTTCCCCAGACCCCAAGAGGGGGGCTGGGGGAAGATTCCATGTCCCTCTGGAACTCTCTGGAAGGGAGGCGTGGCCAGGGGCGTTGGGTCCCTGGCAGGTGAATAAAAGCCGGACCCCTGACCCAGGTACGGCAGTGTTCCTCAAGCCGAAGACTGAAGACAGGGCTTAGAGTAGGATCCTGGGACCCCCAGACCCGACGTCCTTGTAAGGGCCGAGACTGAGCGGGCCAGTGGCCGGGACCCGAGGACCTTGGCTGGGTCGGGTCAGGATGGCCTCCCCTAGGGCCCCTAGCTGGAGGGCTGAGTGCAGAGTGGTCCCCAGTGTGAGGAGGCACGATAGCCTGGAGGCCATATCTCCCCATGTAGCGGGTGTAAGGGGCCGTTACCACTTCGTGTTAGGGACCCTGTACATTAGTGTTGTTAAATAAAAGTGTCGCCTCAACTGCCGGCTCCCTCTCGTCTTTGGGCTCACTACACATATATAACCAATTATGTTTTTTGGAATGTTTTACCACAATCATGATGTGTGGTTAATGCAGACTTGATGCCTTGCAATGGATGTGTCAATTTGGTGTTTGAACATCTTAACACAACTCCTGTATTATTGCCCGAAAGACTAAAGTCTATACATTTTTCAATACATATTTTTACACGATGATCAGTTCACTAAACCTCTATAATAGGCTTTATGTTTGATAATAGCATAACGTTTCGTGTGAAAACAGCGTTACTTTGCATTTATTACAGAAAAAAAAACACATCACAATAGTTTACACATTTGATACAAATATTTAAAATGTGTATCTAAAAAACTACACTATGTATACGCGGATTTACTTCTGTATACTTGCTTACCAACTGCGAGCATCTCGGTTTGAGTATACGCGAATCGGTAACCATGCCGAGTCGTGAAATCTAAATTGGACCCGAAGCCTGCAGTGAAGGAAGAAGGGGAAAGTGTTGCATCTGTGGCCCGGAGGAAGAGGGTGAGGAGTGGGGTGAGCCCCTCCTCCTATAAAACTTAAGTTAACGACGTTTGATGATTACAATAAGCAGAATTGTGAAGTCTTCCTGTCATCACTGTGCACCTACAAGTGTGAAGAACCTAGGGGCGTTAATGTGTTAATATGAAATTATGCAGTACGTGTTATTGGTTGCGTTAGTCACAGTGATGGAATATTACATGAATAGGCATTAAATTAACGGTGTTGTGTGCAGGAACTGTTGTGTGCATGTTGGTGTGGTTATATTTACGCGATCCAACCCAAAACAAATATGAATAATATTGGTCACGAAAGTATACGTGTTAAATTGAGATACTGTATTGAATGTTCGTAAAAAACACCAATCAAAAGAGTGTAAATATAATTCCAGAGTAAAAGGAGCCATGCAAAGTTAGGTACAGATGAAAGTAAACAATACATGTAAGCCTAACAGTGGCATAAAGATACGCACATTGAAAAATACAAAACACATGGGAGCAAGAGGAACCAGAAAAAAAAGTTACGTGCAGTGGCAAGTCAAATATTGTATTGTCTATATTTAACCCAGATTATCCTGGAAAATTTGGCAATCATGTTTTATTGCATCTCCTGTTTAAATGAAAGAGACTGAATTATATTATTTGGGTCTTTCAATAAAGTCACGTAGATAGTGACTTTACCGACAGACCCAAAGAATATTAATTCCTGCAGTCACGAAAGCTTTAAGTCGAGACCGAAATAACCGACTAAATTATACTGATGATACTGACTGGCATTCAAAAGTTGTATAAGTCCAGATCACATTGTAATTTTACTGAACAATTTTTCTATCTACAGCTGCGGGACTTCGTCTGGTGAGTGGCAGGAACCGTTGTGAGGGACAGATAGAAGTCTTCAGGAACTCTGTGTGGAGTGGAGTGTGCAGTTCGGCGTTGGACAATCACGGCGCAGATAGGATCTGCCGTCTTCTGGGCTGTGGATGGAGTGTCTCTCATGGGAACTTGACCCAGTTTGAGAATACATCCGCGACAATCATATCGGACAGCATAACGTGTGGAACATTTACAAATTCCATATTTGATTGCCTTCAGTCGGGAATACATAGTTGCAGCAATATGGAAACCGCTGCTGTAGTTTGCGAAGGTAAGTACCAAATGCACCCGCTTGACAATAAAATAGGTCTGTGGATATTTTATAACTCCTGCAAAGAGACATGGAATATACTAATTGAAAAAAAAACATTGTCACAAAAGAGCTGGTCTAAATTTTGCCAAATTTAAAACGTTGCACTGCAAACTACTCAATTGAGATTACATAGAGCAATGTCACTCCATACCTGCAGCCTAATGCCTACTTGTAGGTCGGTACTGAATTGCATTTTGCTTTTTTAAGGAAATAGAGTGGTGTTGTGGTAAAATATGCCTAAAGGAAGCGGGCTTCGGGTTCGACTCCCGACTTCGGTGCCTTTGTGGAGTTTCTATGTTCTGCCCCTGTTCTGCATGTTTCCTCTGTAATATCCGATTTTATTACATAGCTAAAAAGCTAAGACAAAGATCCTATTTGTAGCCTTAGCAGACTCGTGGGGCAAGTGCTGTTAGTGCCCACCTATGATAGCTGGCACGGCACACAAGGGGGTGCGTGACCAGCACTACACCCGGTTGCCTATGTCTACCTAGTCGCGATGTTTACACATTGCAGCAGATACTCTTCTTGAGGCTGAGTCGACGTAGGGGAGGCCCAGAAGTGGTTCAACTAATAATTACTGGTGTTGGCCGTGAACGGGAATCAAACTCAGGTTCTCGGGTTCGTAGCATTGCACGCTAACTGTTACACTACGGCTAAACAAAAAACGTGTAACTGGAATTGGCTAAACATTGGTTTAAAAAGGGGTTTTGGGGTCATCCTTTAATAAATCTCACACGTATGTTGTGTTTTCTTGGCAGCTGCTGAACCTACAAGCCAGAATTTGGTCATAACTCAAAGCCAAGGCAAGGATTGTCTATTGTTTTTATTCTTACCATGCCACATACATTTTATTTTAGCAACAACACCATATAACTCATTATTGTTGCATACTACATCTTGGGACCTCCTTTGCCAGTACCAAAATATGATAGTAGGTTTTTCTTCCTTTTTTTCTGGAAACAAAAAAAAAACCTTTTACAAGGAATCATGTCTGCACGAACCACACTACTTGTGGTTAGAACGAGGCTTAACAGAAAGCTGTCTCTGGTGTGGACCAATCAGTTTCAAAGACAATGTATATATTATCAGTTTTTTTTATTCTGACCACAAGTATTGTGGGTAATGCAGCCATGATTCCTTGTAAAAGGTTGTTATTGTTGCCAGAAAAAAAGAGGAAAAAAAACCTATTATCATTGTTGCATATTGTTAGAGTTATCACCATATGATTTGATATACAGGTGACCCCCGAATTACGATGGCTCGACTTGCGACACCCCCCCCCCCTTTTTCGACCTTTCTTATAGTAAAACCCCCACAGTAGCGACCAAAATTCGTAAAAACGACCGCCTAATGACTGCTACCGACGCCAAGTCGATTGGCGTTGGCGGCAGCATGGCAGGCGAGTGTGCGCTTGTCATGCGCAGACTCGTCGCGTGATGGCGCTGCTTTTGACTTCCGCCGTATGTGTATGTACAGTATAGACAATCAGTCACCAGCTGCGCATAGAGCGAATATTTGTTAGCATTTTTTTCATTTATTTTCGTGGTCAATTTCGAAATTTGTATGGTGTCTAATGGGTGTCCAGGAGCGGAACCCCAATTCATTACATTGTGCCTATGGGAAATAAGGGTTACGACTTACGACCGTCATCCAGGAACCAATTAGGTCATAGGTGCAAAGGTCGCTTGTACATATCAATATTATGCATGCATGAAGGCATAAAGCACCCGTATAGAGTATTTTGGTTGTAGAATGTGGGCCCCTTCAAATAATATATTTGGTTGAACCTATTAGGCAGGCTTGCTTATGCTTTACCCATGACTTATTGTAGCTTAATTTCCCGAGTTGCACAAAAACAACTATAATTAATTCAAGTGACGCGACCATACTCCCCACATGCTGGTAAATGCAGGTTGATGAAGATATCTAATACTTATTATCCTTATATTTTTTCTTAATTGTGCTATTTATGCATCTCCAAACAGTTAAACCTTTATACGGGCTTGTCGGTTTGGTTTTAAAAATAATGTAATAGTTAATTTATCATTAAATGTCTAGCATGTGTCATTGTTTATTTAATCAATAGAAATACAGCATAACATTCTAAATTATAATTGTTTTACATTTGATTGATGGTACGACATGTGGTCTGTTGTATACAATTGTGGTAATGTACTTGTTAACAGAATCTTCCTTTGCAGTTTATCTGGGCAAATGTGAGAACTTTGTATAGTTTAGGTTACTTTACGGTCCAAATGTTTTGATATCAAGCCTTGCTCGTGTAATTGTTTCGTGTCTAATTTGTTGGTCATTTGATCTCTTCTAATATTAATGAATATTCTATATGCGTAATGGAGGATATGGTCATATCCATAGAGCACGTATACAGTGTATACATATACAGTAAGCCCCCATGTAACACGCTAGTAGTAGATGCGTTCCTGAAAGGTACTGCGATAAGCGAAAAACGCATGAAGCGAAAGTTATTTCCCTATAAATAATGTAGTAACGATGAAGTTTGGTGAGATACGATGATACTACTTCGAAAACCACGCAGTGAGATAGCGGAACTAATAACCGAGTAGGGTGCGCCGTTACTACATTACTGTATCAGCGTCATGGAATGCTATTAGCATGAATGACTCTATAAAATGTAAGTATTATTTCGTAAACTGAATCACTGTACTGCTCAGCTGCGCAGCTCAAAAAAGTAGTTGTCGACCGTTCAGAAACTGCGTTATAAAGGTGCGCGTTCTGCGTTATGATGGCGTGCACGTTCCCTCATGGAAGAACATTATTGCGAAAATGCATTGTAATCGTGCGTTAAGCGATGGCTTACCATACTATGAGTATATATTGTATGTATATAACACGTACCATATATACACATGCTATCTGTAGAATGATATGTGGTAAATTTATGACGGTTGTTATTCTCACAAATCTATTTAAAGTTTCTATATCGTTGTTTTCCAGATGGAAGAGTGCAGCTGGTGGATCAAGAGTTAATGTGTCAGGGAAGGGTGGAAGTATACAACAATGGTTCCGTGACCACATTTTGCAGAAACAACTGGAATGTGTTTGAAAGTGAAGTTGTGTGCCAGCAATTGGAGTGTGGCAGCAATGTAGAGGTTGCCTCCTACACGAACGACCAATATTATTTTGGCATTGGTCAGGGAACGTCACGGCAAGCCTCGTGTGGTGGCTCAGAGAAATCGATCACCGATTGCCAGATGTATCCAGCAAGTTCCTACATCTGCACAAACAAGGGGGCAGCTGGTGTTTCATGTACTGGTACGAGCACTCATTCGCTGTGCTGCTCTCGATTCCCACAGCCTCTATCCACGTAGCTTCAAAAAATATATTTTCCAAATAAACTGTGTTGAAATTTAGAGGGAAGATTGGTGCTAATGTGTCGTTTTTGTGAATTGGCACATTCATAACTAAAGAAATGAAAGGGACATTTTATTTCTTTGTTTGCCATGGTATGATTTTCCCCTCAAGTGTATTTTGCAAAATAATAATATAATACAGCTCATTTTAACTATACTGTTGGATGAAGGCCTTCCTACAACAACTTGTCGCGCAATGAAATAAATTAAATAATGTAACCTTTATACACAATTATAACCGTCATCTTCGTGAATTGGACATTACTATTTCCAGTCCCGATAGGCTCAGTTGAACACATAGGCTTTCGTGACCAATATCATCCATAAGAGGTTTTTTGGGGGGGTTAGATTGTGTAAATATATAAATAGGGATTACCGTTGGTACGGCTATTTTAATAGACAGGAAGTACAAAATCAAAGGGCTCATATAATGTGCATGCATAATGTGCGTCGATTCATTAATCCCCCCCCCTACTTTGGGCAAGAGCACAGAAGGGTGGTCATCACATCTACGCCTCTATATAAGGAACGAAACAGGTAGACTTCTCCACAAATCTGGCTGTTGCCTGATGAAGCTAGTTGTAATTACTGGCGAAACGTCGCACTCAGATTGTAAATGTTGTGGCTTGGCTCTCCAACACACCAGTGTGCTGTACTAGTTACGAATTGGCATGTTATGTTTACGTGACAACCCTTGCTAGTTGGCTGTGTTGGGTGGTGGCGGGTTTTAATGACACATTTATATATTTACGCAATCTAACCCAAAAAAAACCCAACTCTATTATTGCCAGATATGCTCATTAGAGATTTGACTTCCTGGCGATTAATCGAAGGGAAAATAATAATAATCAGAAGGTTATTTCCTGAGTAAAGCCCATTGAGCTAAGAAGTGTTTTTTTCAATGGCAACTCGGCCAGCAGGTAACAGTAAAGTATTCCACAATTACAGATTTTAAAAAGAAACAAACTTTACAATAGTAATAACTATTACAAATTACATTCACACTTAAATTTGAATGATTTTAATACAGTCAACTTGAATAAGGACAGGGAATGCAGAATTTAGATGCCAAGAGACGAAACAAGGTGGTTCCAAAACTTTGCGGTAACACCATTGGAACCTCCTTTGCCAGTAGCAAAATATAATTGTTTTTTTACCCTTTTATCTGGCAACAAAACTGACACCTTTTTTATTTTCAAGGACAGTGCATACATTATCAGAGTTATGTTTTTTGTTTGTATTCCGACCGCAGGTATTGTGGTCAATGCAAACATGACTCCTTGTAAAAAAAGGTGTCAGTTTTGTTTCCAGATAAAAGGGTAAAAAAACCATTATCATATTTTGCGGTAACAATTACATTAATGTTTTTGATCCAAACTGTGTAGGATATCTGGGAAGTCTTAATAGCCAATCAGACTTGTGTCACAGATATTTAGGATGGTCCATTGTTAATAACACCAATATCCTCATGAATGAAAATTGTCCTGCAGTGAAAATGTCTTCTCACATCCAATGACATTTTCCCAGCCATGGCATAGAGGTCACAGTGATGCATCCTATAAAATAACAACAAACAGTCGCCTTACAGAAGACACAAGTTGAGGATTGTACACAGGTGGTGAGTTACAGAAGAAATGGTTGAAACTCTTTGTTGCTGCTGCCATCTCCCACCCTAAACATGGTATCGCCACCTTCACCAGGCAAGGCCTAAGATCTAAGGTCCACCACAAGTGATGATACATTGACGATAATCAGTTGTTCAGGTGATGATCATCAATGTAAATATAAACCCCAAAAAGAATCACCACATCTACCAGCAGCCACTCACCCGGCTATAGATGTGGATGGCTACAATAGCCACCACACACAATGGGCCTACTCGGTTAAATGGCACGATACACATTCCTTATAAACAATCTCTAAATAGGCAGGCACATTTTGCTCTCAGCCCGGTAGAAAAAAAGGGACTCTAACCCAAAACGAATGCATCATCTTAAAGGAGGACAAAAATGGACAGCCACTAATTTCTTCACGAACAATTATAGACAATTTTTCGAAGAGCCAACTAAAATCGGCAGTCCTGAACAGTGGATTCCTGATACCGGTCATAACTCCGCCTTTCCGATTAGCACGGTTAGCTATGTACGGTGTGAAATAAGTTCAACATACACCTAAAAACCACAGCCACCACATTGGTACCTTTGGAAGGCCAACTGGGCTGGCTACACAAAAAAGTGGAAGACTAATTGAAGAACCTGGGGCCAAAGCTTGACGTAGATTTGTAAAAAAAATCTGACATCTGCCGCAAAAAACGAAATCTCGAGGGGCCTCGGAAAAGTTACATGCCATGTTGGCAACCAGAATAACTTTTGAAAGTGTTCATCAGAACTGATGACTTGATAATTGAATCACACTGCTGGAGTTTATGAACTTGAAGGAAACACTGGGAAGACATCAGACTTGTACTTCACTCACTCCGGCCATAAAGCCTGGCAGCTCCTCAGGTGCATATACCAGCAAATATATAGTGAATTATGTGGCTTTCCACACGCTGTAATCCTGCTCAAATACACCAATGGAAATGTTCAGCAAATAAGCGGTCCAGAAGTAACTTCCCTTCACCTTGAACCAACTACCGCAAGCAACAGATCTATCCAAGCCGTGAATGTGGAAGCAGCTCTCAGGGCCACAAAATCCAACACGGTACTGAAATATGATGGTCTGTGTCCTGAGTTTCTGAATAATCTGCGACTATATGGCCAACCTTGGCTCGCAAACTTATGGTCTGTCATACACAGGGCAGGCAATATCCTGAAAGCATGAAAGCAAGCCAAATCCATCACCATTCTGGAACCGGAAAGTCACAAGACCGCCTCCAACTACTGGACCAATATCCCTATTCTCAACTTCTAAGCTAATGGAACATGCCATCCTTGCCAAAATTTCCCCCATCTGCCTCTCAAACGAGCCAGTTTTGGAACATGCCATAGCTGCTGCGAACAAATCATTGCCTTTATATCACCATAATTGCAGCTGGTTTCCAGCGTCAATAGAAACCCAGCGAAGCAATGATTAATGCCTCTTCTGATGCCTGTGACAGTGTTTGGCGTCATGGCCTACTGCTGAAGTTGGTCAAAATCATCAGATGCCATTCTGCTGCTCACCTACTCGACGCGATGTTCAGCAAATGTACTCTCAGGATGAAAACCAACACCAACTATCGCCATTCGCCACTACGTGGCAGTGATATCATCAATGGTGCTTTTGCCATACTATGTGCACTTTAAGACCATGTGAAATGTCGAAGGGTCGCTGGCAGGAGGTAATGGGACAGACCCAGGTGCTATGGATTGACTGACCAATGACTGGTGCTTGCACCACCTGTGCCCCCTTCTCGGCCCTCCGTTGTTGGAGGGCGACTGCCTCCAACTACCCAGCAGCATCCTTCACGAGCCTCCTCCACAGAGGCCGATCTTGACATTGCTGGTACCAGTCAGTGGCAAGTCCACTCAGCTCCGCATCCTCTTGTACGACATCAATTAATATTTTTCCTAACCCATGCTACGCCCATTTATCCCCCCCTATCCTGCAAAGAAAAGCTGTTTGGGCATGCATGAGGACTACATACCCCAACCAATACAGCGTTTCCTGTTGGAGGAGCTCGCTGATGGGACTGTCCAGATCTTTCAAGGATTTGTGAGCTCACACAATCCAGCCTGGTCAAAGTCAGAATGCATAATAGGCAGGCAAACTTGAATCGTTTTAACTGACATAGATGTTCCATGAGGGGGGGGTCCACATTTTGCGAATATAGAGAAGGGAGGGCATTATTGTGGCCGAGAAAACCTGAACCTTCGTATGGATTGACAGACCAGGTAGCTTTCACGCAGCATTATGCAGCCAAAGAAAGATAATGCTGCTCGACTGATCTGGAGTGAGACCTCTGCTATCATACTAAAGCTGGTCTTAAGTACACTGCCCAGATATGGAAATCTCCACTTCTCTTCACAAATGCCTTATCACTAATGGAGAGTTGAGGGGGTGGCGTGTTTGATGTCACAAAATACCCAGGCAGGTGCTTAGCTTTGGTGGGGCTGATGGTAATGCCCATCCTCATATAAGCATGCTCCTGGTTAAGCAGCAGCACTTACAACTCCTCTGAGTGAGCAGGAATCACCAGATGATCAGCAAACATAACATGCTTAACCAATAGGAAGCCATCCCTCAACTGCACATGGGCATGGATCAGCCTCCCATTGTATCTGTACCAGATGGAAATTCCTCAGGTAGAGCCATGGATGGCTTCCTGAACTACGTGGTCGAAACATATTTTAAATAATCTAGGAGCCAGGTGACATCCCTGTCACACCCCAACGTGAAGAACGAAGGGCTCTAACTCCCAGGCACGTAGCTTTATCGGGGTCTTCCCACCATCATTAAGGTCCTTGGTGATTGTGAGCATCGAGTCAGGGACTTCGAAAGCATGAAGAACAACCCAGAGCCGTGGCCTATTTATAGTATCATAGGCCTTAACCAGGTCAATAAAGCAGAGATGTAGGTCCTGTTGAATTTCCATACATTTCTGATGTAGCAGGCGGACAGAATATGGCATCTGTGCAGGACCACCTTAGCCTGAACCCACATTAGGGCTCTGCAAGCCTCTCCACAACGAGCCTGGCAAGGCAATGTTGAATAATCCTTGCCAGGAGCTTTCGTAGGATACTGAGGAGGAAAATTTGCCTGTAGTTGTTACAATCTGTGCGGTCCCCCTTCTTAAACAGCGGGACCACCCGGGCATCATTCAAATCGCGTGGAACTCGTTCAGTGGTCCGTATTGTTGTATTGATATCACAAAGTACATTCTGCACATAAGCACCACCCTCCCTGGGCAGTTCGCATGGGAGATAATCTCTGCCCAGCACTTTTTCTTGTCTCAGGCTCTGGATGGGCTTCCGTACTTCCTCAACAGATGGCACCTCAGTCAGCCACTCAAAGGGGGCGACCACTTCTTCCAATATTTGAAGCATAGCCGCCCCAGCAGGGTCATCCTCACCTTGCCCCATGATGATTTCTGGGCTGAGGGATTTCTCTTCCCCCAAAATCTCACGGAAATGCTCAGTAAATCTGCAAACCTGTTCCTTGGAGTGAGATATCAGATCACCATTATTTCCCCTAAGGACGGTGATAGGTGTGGAGCTATAACTTACTTTTTTGATAGAATTAAAGAGTAATTTGTGATCACAGGCTACTGAGGCAGATTCCATCTCCTCAAAAACTCATAACCAGCGCTCATCCTTGCAAGGCCGCATGGTTCTCCAAACCTCTTAGTGAAGGCTGCGGTAAGCCTAATTTTCAGACGTGGCATGCAGGAGATGGTTGGAGTGAGCCTGTCACTTTTTCTCAGCTAAACAGAACACCTCCTTTGTCAGTCATGGTCTAAGGGGAGGTTTGGACTGCGTCCCCAAAATAGCCATTGCAGCTGCATGAGTCACATTCCTTAACCTCACCCATTTCCCTTTGACATCATGAGGGGGTGGGAGGAAAACGATACCAACCCCAGCTGCAAGCGATTACGACGACGGAAGAATAGAAGACGTATTTTACACATGATAAGCTAATAAACAGTGGGCAAATCAGCTCCACGGTAGGTCCTGGTGTACATCCATAATGTGGATGGTGCCGATGCCAGAACTGCGTTTAGTTAATTACAAGCCCATGGGCTGTACAGAAGCCTAGCGCCTCCTACTGTTGTTATTGAGCTGATCTGGCCCCTGCCTTCCAATTATTCCAGCCCAGGTTCCAGCGTCATGACCCACACGGGCATTAAAGTCATCCAACATGACTCTTTCCCGCGGGGTTACTTTAGCTAGCACCTGTGACGGGATGCCATAGAAGGCATCGGACTCATCAACCTTGCCTGCATCTCTCCACTTATGTTCATCTTTCGTGGGGCCGTAAGCCACCACCACCATTCCTCGTCTCCCATTGATGGAGTCGAGCCTACAAAAGCCTGGGACCTTGAAGCTTCCTACACCTCACTCCCTGTTGTTTGGCAATTTCCTGCCCCGAGTCCCCATTTGCTGCTGTGGTGGCATTGCTCATAGCCAAGACAACAGGCTGAACACCTCATTGGTGAACACAGCCACAGGGGAAATAAATGCTCGATACTAGCACCAACGCTAATATATGTCACCTGCCATGTACATCATCTCACAAGTTCATATTTGGAGATGGCATAGCCCTTGCTGCACAGGGCACAAACCTCAAGAAAATTTCCATTACTCTAACAGTTTAACATGTCGGCTTTCACAACCAATAGGATCCATAATAAAGGTTTTTCGCGTAAATATAAACAAAAAAAATATTTTGTAGCTCATCATTTTATTGGAGCCATGCTTCTGTCGCTGGAGACTCCCATCAAATTATTTCAAAAAAAGCACATTCCACCTGAAAAAATAATGCAGAAGATGCCTCCCATGATGTATTCGTCGGTAGCCCAGTGAGCTATGACTCCACAACAATATATCTAGGAGTTATGATGGACAGAAGCCAGAACTTCAAGCAACACATCCGTTAAAACACCAAAGTAAAAATCGCCCTGCTGCAGAAACTAGCAGCAACAACTTAGGCACCGCAGCTGATGAGCTGTGAACTGCTTAGTTCTCACGGATCTACTCGGTGGCAGTCAACAAGCTCCAGCCTGGTCCGGGAGCTCGTCCACACAACTCACAGGCAATGTGTTAATTCTGCCACTGAGTGATACTGGACTTCCCTACACGTGCAAGTCAAGCCTTTTGTAGCTCAGTTCCACCTAAATTACTACCGTGCATGCATCTATAATTATTGCGTGTTCAGACCATGAGACAATCCTCAATTATGGCAGCCATCCCAGTGTCAGCATAGTTGAAAACCTACCCACACTTTGAGTAGTTACTGCACCACGTTCTGCACTCAGTGTGGTGGAATATGTTTAAGAGGTTACTCTCTGTGCTCTACTTTTGAGGTAAGGTGAAAACTACTTGAGAAAATGACCATACTGAGCAGAACTGCAGGTGCTCCAATAGTGCACCGAGGTCCAAAGCATCAAATCCAATGAAGTGATGGAGGACAAAGATGAAGCGAGTGTTGCAATCTTTCGCTTTTAGGTTATCATTAACCACCCTAACAAGGGCTGTCTCGATGATGCTCTATCAAAATCGGGACTGGAGAAGACCATAGATGTTTTGATTGACCAATGATCATCCAGTTGCTGTGCAACCACCATCTTAATAACTTTACTCACAAAGGGCAGGTTCGAGACTGGTCTTTAGTTATAAAGTATGTCTTACCAACTGATGACTTTCTAAAGATAGGTCGAATGACCACTGTGTTAAAGGGGAGCGTGGGAGGTTCCCCTTTCCATTGATTGCCAGACTATTTTTTATCCAGAACTGTGCTGATGTGAAACATTTTTCCTTACAGTTTTCAGTTGGTGGCTCACATTTTTTAAAATTACATGATAATGGTTGGGCACTGGAACAAGTGCTCCGAATTGTATGAGGACCATTTATGATATACAATGTGATTTTAATTATTCCTTTTAATAGCATATGTTGGTTTTCTCTTTATTTAATTCTTAAATGTGTTCGTGTTAATTTTAGGTTAGTGACACTTAGTGAGGATTATAGATATACATAGAGACTCATATAGATACTTAGATACTCATAGCATAGAGACTCAGAGATATCTAGAGATTTAGAGTGATAAAACACTTCATAAATGAGGCTTGTCGGATGTATAATGCTCAAGTTTCAGAGTGGCTTTTATTTTGACCTGCAGCTGCAGGGCTTCGTCTGGTTGGTGGCAACAACCGCTGTGAGGGCCGGATGGAAGTCTACAAGAATGGCATTTGGGGCGAGCTATGCAGCTCCACTCTAAACAGAGACATTGCAGACGGCATTTGCCGTCTCCTTGGCTGTGGTTGGAGCCTTGTGTATGGTAACCTGTCGACATTTGGACAAGGAAATGGAACCATTTTCCCAAATAACTTGTATTCCATATCAAACACAATAGCCAACAGTCTTAGTTTCGGAACAAACATGTGTAGCCATGACCAGACCGCTGCCATAATTTGTGAAGGTAAGCCTATACGATTGGTTTTATATGTTTATCGGTAATGGATTTATATATCTTACTAGAGGGTAGACTGTGCTACAGACTGCGTTATCTTCGCCAATGGTTGTCCCCTACTCTCAACTCTTTTCGATTTACTGTTTTTTCCACCATTGTCTGCGCCAACAATCACCAGACGCTACTCACCACCTGACATTGCCACACGATACTCACCACTCACCTGACACCATTGCCAGTCACCCACCACTCAACTGGCATCTGACCCTCACCAGACACCTCACCACTCCCATGACACAAGTTATTCACCTGCCCCTCACGACACACACATGAGATGTCACCACTAGATAGACACTCACCAAACACACGACGTTCTTGAAACTCAGCAGACATCACCCAACACTCGCCAGTTTAATCGTTTACACACGCACACAAACAACACCACTCTACACAATTATACCATTTCACCATACCACTGCATGAATTACTACACCATTACAGTACACCCTACACCACTCCTGAAAACTACGATGCCATTTCACCACAGCACGACATGAATACACCACACTCCTGCACAACGTTACAGTGCACACTACACCACTGCTGTACACGACTACGCCACACGACTAAATTACTGTTCATCCTCAACTACACCAAACTACACTCCACATCACTGCACTACACCACACACCTACACCACTTCACCACACGAATACATTACACCTTATTCAGTCACTCATTCGCTCGCTCAATCCTCTCATTTCTTCATTTACTCGTGCAGCCTTTATTTACTCATCATATCATTCACGCGTTATTTACACATTTTATGATTTCTTTATTTCTCATTCTTGCCTCAATCCAATCAGCCATGGCTTCCTGCAGGCCCAGTTGTTGCTAAGGACGCCGTTGCTTGGGAAGCCATTGCGAGTGACGCCTGTCACGAGCCTGGCGGTTGCCCCGAGCTGCCGGAAGCTATACATTTGATTTAGTAGTGCATATAAGCTACTTAGTTTCGTGGGATTTTTAATTCTGTAGTCAACATGTTACATTGATTCACATCGTGCCTTAATTCAAGGTGTTTTACAATAATTATACACTTATGCATAAGATAGTGGTCAAAATAAAGTGGGTTAGTAAAAGTGGTGGTATAGTTATGGTGACAGGCAGACAGGTGGGAATGATGAAGGAGGTGTTGAGATAGTGACAGAGGTAGTGACAGGGGTAGATAGGGGTAGAGTGGTGATAGGGGTTTTGGTAGTGATAATGACTGGGGTAGTGATAGAAATCAGGGTGCTAATTGGGGTATTTGTGGTGATAGGGGTAAGGGTGGTGATAGGGGTAGTGATAAGGACTGGGGTAGTGATAGAGGTAAGTGTGGTGATAGGGGTAAGGGTAGTCATAGGGTTTGGGGAAGTTATAGGGGTGGTGATAGGGGTTGGGGTAGTGATAAGGACTGGGGTAGTGATAGAGGTAAGTGTGGTGATAGGGGTAGGAGTAGTCATAGGGGCTGGGGTAGTTATAGGGGTGGTGATAGGGGTGGGGGTCGTGATAAGGACTGGGGTAGTGATAGAGGTAAGTGTGGTGATAGGGGTAGGGGTAGTCATAAGGGCTGGGGTAGTTATAGGGATGGTGATAGGGGTTGGGGTAGTGAAAAGGGATGGGGAAGTGGTCGGGGTAATGGTGGTGAAAGGAATATAATTATTGATAGGGGTAGGGGTGGTGATCGGGGTAGTGATAGGGGTTGGGGTATTGGTAGGGGTAATGGTAGTGAAAGGAATAGGAGTAGGGATAGGGGTAAGGGTGGTGATAGAGATAGGGCGAGTGATAGGGGTTAGGGTAGTGGTAGGGTTAATGGTGGTGAAAGGAATAGGAATAGTGATATGGGTAGGGGAAGTGATTAGGGTAGGGGTAGTGGTAGAGGTTGGCGTAATGATAGGTGTAATGGTGGCGAAAGGGGTAGACCTAGTCGTGGCTGGGGGGCGCTGGCAGGCAGTAGCAGGGCTAGGGGAGAAGAGATGGGGGCTGTTCTAAGGCAGGAATGAAAGCTGCAGATTGTTGTTATAGTGAAGATGATTACTGTATGTGCTGCAATGGGAGTTGGTTCAGTGAAGGTTAGCGAGAAGGGAACCGGGACGAGAGAGTGAGACTGGGCGCAGGGCGAGGGAGGTACAGAGAGGGGGATGGTGGAGACTTAGGAGTGTAGATGACGGGATGGGACAAGAGTAGCGAGGGATGAGATAAGCGAGATGAGGTGGGGAAAGACAATGGAGGGGTTAATGGACCCAGAGTGAGAAATGTTAATGGACAGCGATGGTAGACAGGGAGCCGGTGGAGTTGAGAAAGCAGAGCAGTAGGGCAGTAGTGTGGGAAATGTGTGGGAGGTTAAATGTGTTCTGCTGTGTTTTTTTTTACTCGGCAACACAAGATCGTAGATTATTTTGTCTTGCTTGCAAACCTGACGCAACGAGCATTACAACTATACCAGAGTTGTGCCCGTAGCTATAAAAATGCGGATTTGTATAAAGTTTTAACACATTTTACAAACAAACAGGGGTGTGATTATATATATACAGATTATTTTTTTAAGTCAGTGTCACTGGTATGGCTAAGGGTGGCTTGGAGGTGAGAGCACTAACCTGGATGAAATCTGAGCAGCTACCCGTGATTAATCCAGGTTGTCAAATCTAGCAAGCTGTTGGTCTCAGCACAATCACCAATAATTGCACACACGTAAACAAGCGTGACATTTGGTTTCGAACTTATGATGAAAAAGAATCGGCGATACTCTTTCCGGCTATAATACAGGAGGTCTTAAGATGTTCAAACACCGAATAGACACCTGTTGCATGGCATCAAGTATGCATCAATCACAAATGTTCGTGGAAAAACGTGCAAACAAACATGCATTCACAATAATGTATGCATTGTATGCAGAGACAGCTTCCTCTGTGACCTTGTCTTTCCAGTGTTAGACCAGAAAAAATGTCAAAAGGCAAAGCGCACAAAGGCAATGTTTTACCCCAACCATCTGTGGTTACTCCAGACTTGACGATGCCTTGTAATCGGTGTCTATTTGGTGTTTGAACTCCTTAACCCCTCGTGTATTCTTGCTAGAAAGGCTAAACCCTATTAATTTTTTTCATAATCTTGGAATCGTTCATTCATTTTTTTTATCTCTAGGGATAGATTTATCCTTCCCAGAGGCAATAATTGAAAGTGCAGTTATTGTATGATTATGAATTGATGTCTAGCCATATATGATACCAAATGTTTATTACAAATGTATGTTATGTTGCATTCTCTAAAAATGCTAAAAAAAATGTCTGTTTTTCTCTTAATCAGCTGCTGGGACTGCCGACAATTATTTGTTTGTAACTACATCAACAAGTAAGTTCCTTAAGATAATGTCGTATGCCATCGAAATATTCAAGTGATATTCCATTGACACTACAGTGCTTTTACAATCTATTGTGACTATATATGCAGGACGGGACTTTTGGTCATATCAGATGTATTCATATTGATGTTCCAAATTATTTAGTAGCACAATTCTTCTATTTCTGATTACAATATAGATATCGATTTTTATTTATGTGCTAGAGGATTACAAGAAATAATCTTAAATTGGAAAGGGGCTGGTCTTGATCTTCCCCTCATTAAAAAGACAATGCTTTTAGTAAACACAGGAGTACACACTTCATGACGACACCAGATTTAAATGTTTGGAGATGAATATCACCTGCCAAACGTATCAAATGGGAGTCGTTTTACTTCTGAGATACCTTAAAGTTATGTTTGTTCCACTAAGTACGAAGCAGACCTTACCTACCCACCCTGCTACAGAGGTATGTTCGCCGTATTACAAACAAAACTGACATCAAATTCTCAGACTTAGAATTTTACAAAACTTAGTTTAATTACAAGCAGCAATGTAAATTTGAACCCAAGACCTCAGCAATACCACCTCCTTTAAGCCACATGGACACCTCTGTAGAAAATGTTTTATGTAAAACATGAAAATACTGAAGTACAATAAAGAGTAAGCACACTGGTTGCCAGTAATAGGAAAAATTGGCACAGAGTCTGAATAACGCAGCAGCTTATAATGGAAATATACAGGCAGTCCCCAAGATACGAACATACAACTTATGAACATCCGCACTTACGAACGAACCACAATACGATTTAATTTTCAACCATCCGATTTGCGAACTGAGCTGTGGAACAATTTTGTTTGGTGGAGCAATCCTCCGCGAGATGTAACGAGCCCCAGCATCAGGCATGATGCACAATGACAGTGAACCATTCGGCACTATTTTTGCACATCTAACATCGTGTGCTTTTTGTGCCATTATTGCACTTTTTATCTCTTTGTGACCCTCATGTCTGACCGTATGTACAATTCAATACTTAGTTCCGATATTCAAACAAATTACTTAACAACAGGTCTCAGGTATATAACCCATTCATAAGTCGAAAATTGCCTGTGTGATAGGTGACATTATGGACAATTGCCTTTTTTTATAGCATATGCAATGGCTATCCACTCTATCTGTAAATAGAGATACCTTTTGGGGAATTCAAGAGTGGTTGTCTTAAAGATAGACTCGTCCTCACCAGAGGTCACTACAATTGTATTGTAATTGTTATTACGTTGGTGAATGGAGTATGAAGATAACAACCATCTCATCCATCTATAGTGATCATACTTAAAACAAGCAATTGCAGCTACTTAAACTCATACATTTTGGTAAAGAAGATACAAATAATTCGTTAATAAAAGTCATACGTACTGCTGGTGTCAGTGCAACATTGATTGCCTTTGAGGTTACTGAATGATGCTATAGATTTGAAGCTTTCGTGACTGCAGCAATCCATACTCTTTGGTTCTTTCGGTAAAGTCACGTAGGTATAAAATAAATAAATCACGACGTTTCGGGCGCAACACAAGCGTCCATCATCAGGTAGGAAAGCATGGTCTGCTTCTAAGGCAGACTGTTTTAAATTGTATGAAATGGGTGTAGCTCAAAGGTTATAAAGAAGTGGCTGGGGCTAGTGTTGTTAATGTGAGAAATTATCATGTAAAAGTAAGTTAGGAGAGTGGCCTCCGAGACGAGGGCACGGAAGTGGCTATATTAATTTGAGGGATTAGCATGATGTTAATGTGAGAAATTAGAGGGCACGGAAGTGGCTATGTTAATATGAGAGATTAGCATGATGTTAATGTGAGAAATTAGCATGCAACTGTAGAAAAGGAGAAAAAGAGTGGCCTCCTCGACAAGGGAGTGCAACCCAACGGGTGTAATCCGAAGGGCCTGTGAGTATGAGAGTGCAATCCAAAAGACATGTGAGCATGAGAGTGCAATCCGAAGGCATGAGAGTGCAATGCAACGGACATGTGAGCATGAGAGATCTAAGAGAGAGGCATAGAGAGACACAGATAGTCGAATAACAGCTGACATATGCAGGTTGGATGGAAACATCACAGTCAGTTAAGACTTTACCTGGTTAATAACGTTCTTCCAATGATTGCTCAGTTTGTACCCATCCTCTCGGTGGAAGTTGTTTTATATTTTTATTATTTTATTGTTTCCCTTCTACGTGACTTTACTTTTACATGCTAATTTCTCATGTTAACATCATGCTAATCTCTCATATTAACATAGCCACTTCCGTGCCCTCGTCGAGGATTTCGCTCTCCTATCTTACAGTTACATGCTAATTTCTCACATTAACATCACTAGCCCTGGCCACTTCTTTATAACCCTTAAGCTACACCCATTTCAGTCTGCATCAGCAGCAGACCATGCTTTTCCACCTGATGATAGACGCTTGTGTTGCACCCGAAACGTCATGATTTATTTTATTTTATACCTACGTGACTTTACTGAAAGAACCAAAGAGTATGATGCTATAGAGATACATATTTTTAAAACACGTCAGTTGGTTGAGATTGATAGTCAATCTAAAACTTAGGTTTTCGCAGCCTATACAATTATTCACATTTATTTTTGGATTGAGCCCATAGCCACGTAGTTGTGGTCTATTATGTAAACAATATTGCCATTAACCCTCTAACACCCAACAAGATTTTTGACAATTGAAGCTCAAACTCCTTTGAGTTTCTTTAGGTAGCATATGATAAGTCCTCGCTAAATGCGTAGTGTTCAAACTATAATGCTCTTTTGCTACAATGTGGTTCTTCAATTCGGGAACACTTTGCACAACACTGAACACGCACCAATGTAATATGTATTATTTAATTATACGCTTCCATAATACATATTACAATTCCTTATGGAGGAAACACTAATTAACTGATTACTAACGTAGCACATAATCACAATAACACAGATTATAACTAATTACTAATCTACAACGCATTACTAATCATAGCCATTGACTGATTACCAATCGATTATATAATTACAATACCCCCCTCTGCCTCAAATCACTGAACCTGAATGAGTTAAATGATGACGTCACCCTGCTGCTCTATTTAAGACCGGGAGCAAGTGAGGGCTTTACCATTCTGGCGAATTGCCCGATGATGCTGGATGTATTTACCAGCGAAACCCGTTCTCGTTCTTCCTGAAGTGCCACAGCGGCACACGTCGACATCCCGTGGATTTCCCAGCCACCCCGGGGTTTGCGAGGGCCCCAGGCCGGACGGCCGGGGGTGGCCTTGCTGCCGGAGGGTGGGGGTGCCACACGCGCTGCGGGGGAGGTGATTTGACCGCAACGAGCGAATGAAGACGGCAGGGAAGGAGACGGGGACGCGGCGTGCGCCAAGGACCATGGAGGATGCCCGTGGGGCCGAGAGTGACCGGAGGGACAGCACGGGTCCGCCTGGGGTGGGGGAGGTGACGGGGGAGGTGCAGCGAGGGAAAGATGCAGGGATGGTGGATGGACCGGAGGGGGCGGGGGAGGAGGAGCGAAGAGGATGAGGGGAAGCGCCGGGAGGCCGGAGAAGGAGCGTCCCCGAACAGAACACGGGGGACGAAGCAGGAGGGATCCTATCAAGCCGGGGGCCACGGGAGGAACAGAGGAGGAAGATGACAGCGGACGCTGGTCCGGTGGGGGCGGGGAGACCTAGTGAAAGAGCGGGGAGGTGGCGCAGTGGAGCAGGGGCGGGCTGGACACCAACGCACGCCAGCAGACACAACTGCGTCAGGGTGGAGTTGAAGGACGACGTGGGGGAGGAGGTGATGATTGATAGAGCGACCTTCGTGAGGTCGGTGAAGCTCGGAATGCTGCGGGTTGAGGTGGCGGACCTGTACTGTTTGATTGCTCTGCCGGGGGGGAGGGCTTTCGACGTGAGCTTTACTTCGAGCCTCCTGCTGCAGAACTTCCTCACCCGCTTCGAGGAGAAGGCGGGGAAGAAGCCTCTGGCATCCATGAGGACGCAGCTGCTGTCGGATCTGGAAACAAAGGTTGTGACTGTCTTCTTGTATAATGAGGCACTGCATGACCAGGACGTGGAGATGTGATTGAGACAGCACTGCGTGCTATTATCTAACTGCAAGAGGGTGCAAGACTCTGTGGGGATATGGACCGGGGCCAGGCAATGGAGGGTGCACCTGAAGATGAAGGGGGGGGGGGTGCTGAATCATATCCCGAGCGCCTTAAACATTGGGGGGAACAGGGGGTACGTGGTATACACAGGCCAGCCTAAACTGTGTAGGAGGTGTGGGGGAAGGGGGCACCTGGCGGCAGCATGTGAGGCAAGAATCTGCTACAGGTGCAAGGCGCCGGATCACACGGTGGAGGAGTGCAGGGAGCCGGCCCAATGCAACCTCTGCGGTAGCAGAGGGCACCTGTATAGGGACTGCCCGGAATCATACGCCAACAAGGTGCGGGCGTATCAAGGTGGACGGGAGGGGGAAGCGGTGGAGGAGGCGACCAGACGGGGATCGGACCGGGAGCTTGTGGGGGAGGAGGAAGGAGAGGCGGCAGAACCACCCCCCGGGGGGGAGAGGGAGGGAGACCTGCGGAGGGGGAAGCTACAACATCACTGGACCGGGAGGAGGGGGAGCAGGGGGAGGAGGGGAGGGAAGGCGAGGGAGATACCCCAGGAATTCCCGTGGTGGACTGGGCGGAGGCAATGGGCGAGGAGGAGGGCGAGAGGGAGCAACGGGTGGAGGAAGGATCTGAAGGGGCGTGGGAGGAAACAACGGGGAGGAAGAGGAAACTGGACAGAGCCCTAAAGGGGGCTGGTCCCCAGCATGACACGGATCCTTCAGGCTCCTCACCGGACACGGAGGAGTCTGGGTGGAGGAGGACAGAAGAAGGGGGGCGGTTGAACCGGGGGAAGCCCCAGAGGTTGAGGGGGAGGAAGAAAGTGCGAGAGAAGGCGGACAAGGACGGTTGCGGGGAGCGTGCAACGGAGTCGGAGACGGACTAAAGTACACTCCGGCATGGACCTCTCGGCGGCGTTCATAAACGTGAGAGGAATGAAGGGGAAGGGAAGGAGGGGAGCAATTATGCAGCTGTTAAAGGCTTACAGAAGGGACGTGACCTTCCATCAAGAGTGCCACCTACCGTACACCCTGGGCTCGGAAGAACTGCTTGAAGACTGGGACGGCCACTACTTATGGTCGGGTAGTAACGGGAATCGGTGCACTGGGGTAGTTACCCTCCTGGGCAGGAGGGAAATGAGGGTGGAGGGAACCCAAGAGACGATCCCGGGCCGACTCCTTTGTGTGGACATGTCCTACCAAGGCGTGGAGTTGCGGCTGGTGAATGTGTACGCCCCTGTACGATGCATGGAAAAGGTAGAGTTGTGAGAGAGCTTAGCAACCCTACTGGCTACTAGGCGACAAGTCATCGTAGGGGGAGACTTCAATTGCCCGTTATACTTAACGGACCTGGTGTCGCCAAAGGGGAGGAGGAAACTGGACTCTTCCTCCAGAAAGCTGAGAGAACTGATGGCGGACCTTCGCATGATAGACGCTTTCAGGAGGGTGCATGGTGTAAGGCCCGGGTACACATGGTCGGACAAAAGCGGGGGAGCGCAGTCGCGGATAGATTTTATCTTCACCTCTGCCATAGTAGAAGTGGAAAGTGCAGGGGTGGAGCCCTTCCCCCTCTCGGACCACAAAATGGTCATGGCAGGGCTCGCGATCCCAGGTGGGGCGAGGAGAGGGAAAGGGATGTGGAAAATGAACGTGGGCCTATTGGAGGACCAGAAAGTGGTGGGGGACTTTGTGCAAAAATACAACGACTGGAGGACCTTGCAGGACTGTTTTCCCATGAGGGTGCAATGGTGGGGCCAGATGAAGGGCAGGGTGAAAGCGCTTTTCCAGTATCATAGCAGGAGGAGGGGAGTGAACAGGGAGTTGAGGCAGTGGAACGTCAGGCTGGAGAGGATGTACAGGTTGCTTGAGCTAGGCTTCCCAATGGGGGAAAGGATAGAGGAATTGAAAGGGAGGATAGCCTCAGTGTTGGAGAGGAGGGCTAGACAGCTAGTGTACAGGGCGAGGGTTAGGGCAACGGAGGAAGGAAATAAGTGCACGATGTTTTTCTTCAAAGCAGGTAGGGAGGGGGATAACGCAATTAGGGAATTGGTAAGCCCTACCAGGGGCAGGCAGACGACGACGGCAGGGATGATGAGCATAGCGGAGGATTTCTATAGGGAGCTGTACGGGAGAAAAGGGACAGATGGGGGAAGCGGGAGGAGCTGCTGGGGGCACTGGGGAGGAGGATTGGGAGCCTGGAGCCGCTGGGGGAGAAGATACGGCAGGGAGAAGTGGAAGGGGCGGTAAAGGGGCTGAATAGAAATAGAACCCCGGGCCCGGATGGTATCCAGCGGAGTTCTACGTCAAGTTCTGGGAGCTCCTGAAGGAGCACATGCTGCAAATCTGTAGGGAGACTTTAGAGGAGGGCCGGGTGCCGGACGATATGCGGGAGGGTTTAGTTACGCTGATTTATAAAGGGAAGGGGGATCGCAAGGACTTGGGAAGCTGGCGCCCAGTTACACTCCTAAACACGGACTACAAGATTTTAGCGAGGATAGTTGCGGCGCGATTAGGGAAGGTGGTTGGGGGGGGGGGGGTGGTAGAGCCGGATCAGACGTGCGCGGTCCCGGGGAGGAGGATCGCGGACTCCCTGGTGGTGCTGAGGGAGGCTATAGAAGGGGAAAGAGAGAGGCGGTGCCCGCTGGGGATTCTGAGTTTGGACTTGGACAAAGCCTTTGACCGTCTTTCGCATGAGTATATGCTGGCGGTGATGGAGAGAATGGGAATGAGTGGGCCCCTGGTGGAGTGAGTGGCACGGCTCTATGGTGGACTCAGGGCTAGGCTTTTGATAAACGGGGTACGCTCGAGGGTGATTCATGTAGGGTCCGGGGTGCGGCAGGGGTGCCCGATGTCCTTGGTCTTGTTCGTCATGAGCATGGAACCTCTAGCGCAGACAATAAGGGATAACCAAAGGATTAGGGGGGGTGACAATCCCGGGCAACAAGGAACAAGGGAAAGCGACTTTGTATATGGACGACGTGGCCGTGCTGTGCAGGGACGTTGCGTCGGTGTGGAGAGGTATGGAGGAGACAGGGCAGTTCTGTGCGGCCTTCCGGCTTGAAGAGCAACACAATGAAGAGCGAACTGACGGCCTTTGGGGACTCGAGGTTGTTCGAGGGTCGGCTACCGGAGTTGAGACTGCAGACGGAAGAGATCACGGTGCTGGGGGTGACCTTCTGTAGGGATAGATCGGCGGAGCATAACTGGGAGAAAAGGATAAGGAAGGCGAAGGGACGTTTGGGTAAGTGGGCAGGGAGGCGGCTCACGGTGGCTGGGAGGATCATGGTGGTGAAGGTGGAGATACTGCCAACGCTAAACTACCTGGCGCAAGTATTCCCACCTGGTAGGAGGGAGGTCAAGGCCTTGACATCGACGCTATTCGGATTTATCTGGGGGGGAGGGATGGAGAGGGTGAGGAGGGCCATACTGTGCATGCAGGTTTGGAACAGGGGGAGGGGCGCCCCAAATGTGGAGTACACCCTGATCTCGATCTTTGTGTGTAATGCAATGAGACTGTTCTTTGCAGAGCCGCGAGGCAAGGCGGCATGCTACATGAGGTATCACCTGATATGGCGCCTGCAGGGCCTCGGGATGACCCAGGCTGAGAGGAGCACACCCTTGGACTGGCCGGGGGGGGTGGTTGAGTGACGTGGTGGGGGACTACATAGGGCAGCACGGCCTGAACCGGTGGGGGGGCCGGTGGAGCCCCAGAGAGGTGCGGGCCGAGGCGGAGAAAGGGGAGGCCTGTGAGGAGGTGCCAGGTGTGAGGAAGGCGGTACACCGGCAAATTTGGAGGAACACGTCGTCGACTGCACTCACAAAAGAACAGAGGGACCTATCCTGGCTGGCGGTCCGGGACAAACTGGAGACGAGGGGCTTCATGTACACCCGCCAAATGGCACGCACCCCCAAATGCCCGAGGGGCTGCAACGGGGATGAGAGCGCGGTACATGTGATGGTGGCATGCCCCTTTGCCCAGGAGGTGTGGAGGCGGAGTGAACCGTTGTTGGCCCGGTTCGCCCCGTCGAAGGTGACAACATGGGACATCATGTGGGGGGAATTGCGGGGAGTGGGAGGGGAGGACAGGGACCGGGCGTGGGCCATAATAGGCGCAACAAAGGAGGCCTTATGGAAGGCGCGCAAGAAGGAACTGGAGGGGTCCCAGATGTCCCCTTTGGAAACATGCTACGTGGCAAGGAGTTTGTTGGAGAGGGTGGTGGAGGTGGATCGGGTGAGGCTGGGACACGAAGCCGCACGGGAAAAGTGGAAGTGGCCACTGCCCAGGGTGGGTTAGGGCGGCCTGGGATGGGGGGGGGGGCTTTACTGGTGCCCGGGGGCGAGGTCGTGCGTGGCTGGAGGGGAGGTAGCCCCTCCATGCACAGATGTGCCCCAGTGCTGTGTCGGGGGTGATTCCGGTCTCGCGGATGGGTCGGTGGCCGGGTGGGGCCTCCGCGGCGCACGGGAGGGGGCGGCCCCTCGATCTTTGTTTTGTTTTTTTCGCTGTGAAACTAAGTAAAAAAATGTAAAATCGTAATTACCATCGAAACGCCGTACTCAAATTGTAAATGTTGTGCATTCACTCTTCAACACACCGGTGGGCTAAAGTACTAAACTATTTGTCCTTTGTAAACCTGACACATTTTTTACTGTTGGTCGTGTCGGGTGTGGAGGGTTACGACACATTTATAAATAACGCGATCTAACCCAGAAACCTTTATTATGAATAATATTGGTCGTGAAAGCCTACGTGTTAAACGTATATAAGTTAAAATTGCAGTGTGCGGAATTCAGTACACAAATTATATCTCAGAATTGTCATGGTATGTCTGCGGGCTGATTTTATAGTGAAAATGTGATTTCAATCTCGAATCTTTGACGTATGATACCATGTAATGTATATACCTCACTTAATGTGTTTGCTTAAGGTGGAACTTGTCAAGAGCGCATCTGTGTTAAATGAGGAATTACTGTACTTGGAATTAGTGGACTGCATCAGCTGACCCTGTCCATTCTCCTGCTACTCCGTGCGCCCGCCCCCCAGCTATGCCCAGGCCCTACCCCAACCCATATCATTACCCCTTACCCCAACCCCAATTACTACCCCAACCCCTTATCATTCCCCTAACCACTACCCAACCTCCTATCACTACCATAAACACCTATCACTGCTCCAACCGTCTTTAACTACTCCCACCTATCTGAATTGTCACCATAACTACACTACCATTAAGCCACTATATATAACTCTATATAAGATAAGATATACTCCGATACGGGGCAATCCTCCACTTCGTTGCTGATACCCATTCGTAAATTGAACGGTTCGTAAGTGGAAACACAACAATGTATTGTATTTAAATGCCCATATTTGATGCACGTCTGAGATGAACAGAACAAACCGGGAAGCTCATCAATAGGATGAGTGGCTCAAAATGTAAAGACTGTAAGCTTACATCCTGGTTTGGTGTTGACTCAACTGGGAATGCCTCCAGGGTTAGGTTGATATGAGTATCGCTTCTGAGGAATTCAACAGTAGTCCTGAGGATGGACTCATCCTCACCATAGTAGAGAGGAATTTACATCACTGGCTCATAGCTGTAAACGGATGAACACCACCTCAATGCTACATTTATCAAAAGATCACTTTGACTTTTCAAAATTAACACGAAGGTTTTTCATGAAACTTTTATATTTCAGATGGAAAAGTGCGTCTGGTGGACCGTGAGTTGCAATGCCAAGGCCGCGTGGAAGTGTTTAACAACGGCTCCTGGGGCACGTTGTATGGATACTACGGGGATGTGTGTGGAGAGTTGCAATGTGGAAGTCGTATTAGAACCATCAGCCAACGTGGTCTATGGCAGCGTCAGACATGGAATGCCTATTGCAGTAGCATGGCGCAGAGTCTTGCAGACTGTACTCTGACTCCAGCAAACAAGTATTTTCGCACGCTGTATGGAAATGATGGCGTTGTTTGTTCAGGTAAACAGTTTTCATGTCCTATTGTTGTCAGGTTCTGTGCTCATGGGGCCGGTCTCTTGCTTCAATCTCCCTCCATCCACACTTGATTCACGGCCCCTCTATACCTTGCAATGGGGTTTTATGGCCTTAGCCAGGGAAGGAAACTTGAGGTGGTTTACCTTTGTATTACTTGGCGGTGTTTTTCAGGTGATATCATAATAATAATGCGAATACAATGTTGGAAGTTTACATGTGTAATGACGCACTTCGGAGACAGGGATCGTTAAGGCACCTTCTTTATTCTCACACTTCAGTGAATTACAAGCGCTCTACATGCTTACACACTAGTCACACATCCGTCTAATTCAACAGCACTATCTAGCTTGTACAGTTGGCAGGCTGTCTAGCTAGCGGCGTCTAAGGATGGTTAAGATGGTAGCGACGAAGGTGACGAACAGCGACACAGCAAGGGGATCCATTTCCAGCAACAGCCCCGAGCTCTCGCCCCAGGCACCATTTTATCCTCCCGGTGTGGCCTCGCTCCGCCCTCACCATGCCCCCTTTCTGAAACCTACTAGCAGGTTCCCGGGCTTCCAGATGGGCCCCTTCCTGAGCTTCTTTTTAGTTCTGCTCGTCACTGTATATACTCCCTCTGCTGACGTGTATACTGCCCTCTGCTTTCAGTACCACTTTTCTGTCAGCAGTCAGCGTTATTACACTACACATGTAACTAATGCAAGTGCATTACATAACTCATTGCAATCCACATATTAAGATGTTTCAGCCAATTTATACATGTTGTAGCAAACTGTAGCACCAAGTAAAAACCCACGTGTGTGAGGAGGCAACACTCTATCCTATATGCTTGGAACAGTTTGAGATTAGTCCACACTTCCTCTTAAGCCTCATGACGAGCCAGAATATGGCACCTCCTCAACACCCACTGGAAGGGTATTTCACATAATTTGTGTGGTGATCTACCAACCCTCACTGCCTCCAGTGCTAGGTTTAAGGCCACGTGCAATAGTCACCACCAACAGGCTCCATCAGCGAATTCAGTTTAACTCCATACCTAGGATATAAGGTTTCATAAATGTGAATAAATGCAGATCTTCTCTCACTACAATATCAGCGAAGAGTACAGGGCAGCTATGGTAATCAATATGTGGATTCCACAAGATGATGGGGGCACAATTTAGGTATAGCCAATCACATGGTTCATTTTCTATTGAAAATAATGTTCCATGGATCTGATCTGTAACTTTTTTTTCATATAATACAGATTGATTGATATAATTATTGCATAATAATGTGTTCATGCAATACTATCATGCCAGGATAATGTTAACTCAGAGGAACCATTGTTGAATGGACATGCTGTTTTATTAAAAAAAGTGTAGTAAAACACACCATTATTAATGTATTTATCTATGGGACCCTTTTTCCGGTCTGAAGATGATGGAAAAGGAATATGCTTTACCCTTTCCGGATACAGGATGTGTTTAAGATGTTATAACACCGAATAGACACTTATTATCACAAGGCATCAAGTCTCCATTGACCACACATCCTTGTGGTAAAAACCTGTAATCAACAAGCTTTTATAATGTATGCATTGTCCGTGAAACGGATTGCTCTACACCAGACAGCCTTCTCCTCTATAGCCTTGCCTCAATGGTGTTAGATCAGAGAACAAAGGGTAAAGCATATTCTTTTTTCATCATCTTGATACCGGCAAAAAGGACTCCTTAGGTAAGTAAAGTAAACCTTTGACAAGGGTTAGGTTCCTGAAAACCCTTGCGTTTGGTAAATTCGCGGTTGGTAAACTTAAGCCCTTATGGGGACAATAGGGTGAGGGGGACCGAGGTCGCGAGTGAACCTAAGAAATGTAATTTGTTACTTTCACTAAAATTAACCAATGAACACAGCACACTAAATAAAGAACATTTTAGTGCCATTGAAGACATTTAATTAAGAAAAGTACAGTCAATTAAATTTGATTTATCTTTGATAGTGATGATGATGCACTGCCATCACCATCACTTGCTCATACACTCAGGGTCATACTTAATTTATAATAAAAAAATATTTCTGAAAAAATGTATATCACTGAGTGGCACGCAATATTAGTATATGATATTTAGGCACAAAACGGTAATACGCAATCACAAACATAAAATATGCAATAATTTCGTGAGACGGAGCGTGAATCGGACCAATCGCGGAGGTAGCAACGTGTTCACACTTCGCAAGTCTACATTTTACGCTCAACGTGCACCACGCTCGCTGTAACGCGATTCTAGTGCCTGACAGACTACTCGCTATAACGCGAGTCTAGCGCATGATGGACTACTCACTATTACGTGAGTCTAGCATGTGACGGACTACTCTGCTGAACGGTGTGGGTGTTGGCAACGTTCAGTGATGCTGGAAGTTGGTACTATAGTACTGGTGCTGTAGTAGTGATGCGTGCTGTGATACGCAGCATGCCTTCCTCTTCCTCATTCTTTGTTCCGGCAGCATCTTTGTGTGCATCGCATCATCTCGCTCCCTTATCTTTACTTGTCATATATCTCACACTCACTTTATATTAAAATATGTCACACATAGCATATTTATTGAAATTCTATATAAACCGAGCACATTTTAAAATTAACACGTAAAACAGTGTACTGTCAAATAAAAACATCAATATTACAATTATGGGTTGGAACGGCACCCTCCCCCCACCTTCACCATAATTCCATATGGCAACATTACAAACCCTAAATAAACACAATCTTCAGTCCTATTATACAAAACAAGCCCTTATCGTGCTCAGTAATTATGTTTAAACACAATTTATAAGCATTGCTTAATTTTACTAACGAAATGCAAAGCTCATTCTCCAGTTCTCTGGATATTTATAAAACGAAAAAAACCCGTTTCTGTTCAAACCTACACTGCATTTCCTTGCAACAGGTTTCTTTTGCGAATTTGCTTTACGTGGAAATTTTCAGGAGCGCAACCCCCGCGTTAAGCAAGGACTTTGTGTATTGTTCCTGAGATAATGAACGTTGTTTTATTTTACACGCTTTTATTTAACTCACTGTGTTGTTGATGTCGTATTCTGAAATCTTGTAACTCAATTTTTTACCCACTCCCCAATGTGGTATCGACTGCAGACTTCGTTTAGTTACGCCTTACTGATGACAATACTATATTCTATCAAAAAATATAATTTTAAACAATCTTTTTATTACATGCTTTCTATTAACTCACTGTCTGTTGTTGTCGTATCCTCAAATCTTGAAACTCAATTTTAACCCACTTCCCAATGTGGTATCGACAGCAAACTTGGTATACCTATGTCCTACTGATGACAATACTATATTCTATCATACAAAATAAAAATATATATTTTTCAACATTATTTTTTACATGTTATGTTTCGGCTTGGGTCTAATTGTCCATGGTCCCTTACGTTATGGCAAGCTTCGGGGCCACTTCCTGGAGTCATGGAGTTCTTCCATTACTCGTACGGTACATTTTAATAAAGCGTGTTTAAAATTTTTTTTTAAATATTACTTCTTTTTTTTCTTGCAGCTGCTGGCATTCGACTACTGGGAGGCGACAGTCGCTGTCAGGGTCGGTTGGAAGTCTATAGGAACGGAGACTGGCGTGGAATTTGTAGCTCAGTGTTGGATTACCAGGATGCAGATGTAATGTGCAAGTCTCTTCAGTGCGGAAGTGCATCGTTTGTTGGAAACACAACCAAGTTTGGTCCTGAATCTAGCTCAGTTTTTTCACAACGTGTATCTTGCCCCAAAACTGCAACAACCTTACTCAATTGCTATTGGAATGACATACTTTGTGATGATACAACTGCAGCTTCTTTGATCTGTGCAGGTGAGTAAAAGGCAAATATGCACTATTGTGATGCACACACGAAGCTAAACATACACTTGCTACTAAAGATTGAATATTGAAACCTTAACGGGCTGGGGTATCACTAACATGGGCACTTTTATCCCTTAGCCTCGATATATCGATGGCTCTTGTTGTTCTATGGGCTGTATGTCTCACTGGCACGGCGACCATGGCCCTTTACACCCTTTCCTCCCACAGCGCAGCGGCCCACGCCGAACTAATTTCCATAATCTCCCATTAACATCCCATTAACACTGCTCCTGTGCACATGTACGGCCACGGTGTTCTTATGCGGTGACGGAAGCTCATTAACTTTGACACGCTAATATCTCTCCCTAATCACTCTCTCCATATTCTCTCTCTCCCGAGTCGTTATGGTGTTCTTATGCAGCGACGGAAGCTCATTAACTTTGTATTGCTAATCTTTCTCCCTAATCTCTCCATAATCTCCCCATTAACTCAAACATATATAACCCCTTGTTGTAACGGCTCTCGCTATTTTATTCCTGGTCCAGCAGTTCTGCTACTGTATATTTTTTTCGCCTGAGGACGACCGCTTGTGTTGCGATCAAAACGTCGTGATGTATTATTTTTTATTTACATTTTTAACATTTATTTTTCTACCTACGTGACTTTACCGAAATAACCAAAGAGTAGAGTGGTGATTCATGTTTGAAAGTTAGAAAATAATTCCATTTGACTCAACCACAGTAATTGAAGGTTTATGCAAAATGATAAATGTGTGCATGCCATTAAAACCTCGTAAAATATATTAGATATTTTATAAGAAAGGTCAGGGGTGGGACTCTCTCCTGGCTAAGAGTGGACTATAAAGTGCTACTGCTGACCTACAAGGTATCCAATGGGTTAGTCCCGCTATATTTACAGGAACTGATCCATTTTCATTCTCCAACGAGGTCTCTGTGATCTTCAGATCGTCTTCTCAGGATTCTGAGGTCAAGGCCCATTTTCTGGGGTGATCGGGCTTTTGCCAGTGAAGCTCCCAAGCTTTGGAACGCTTTGCATTTGATAATTAATGAGACAATCTGAATCGTTTGCTATATTTAAGTCTGTCTTGAAAACTCACCTCTTAAAACTGGGTTTTACCCCCCGAGTTATGGCTATTTACTCTGCAGGTTCTATTTATTTCCTGCTTTCCATAGTATCTACTAATGGAATGCGCCTTACAAATTTGAGTTAGTATTATTATTAACGTATGAGGGATGTAGAAAGGAAGTGTGGAAGAGAAGACTGGGAGCATGTGAGGGATTTAAGTTCACTTCGAATTTTACAAAACGATTCATTACTACATGCATAGTTGATTTAAGAACACATGTAGAAAACATGATCAGAGTAAAAAAACGTACCCATGATAAAGTAGTGGTCATAATCTTGATTTGAAGCTTTTGTGACTGCAGGAATCCATACTCTTTGGTTCTTTCGGTAAAGTCACGTAGGTAGAAAAATAAAATAAAATTTAAAATAATATATCACGACGTTTCGATCGCAACACAAGCGGTCGTCCTCAGGCAGAAAAAATAATCCAGCAGTGGAACTGCTGAACCAACGAGAGAGCTGTTACAACAAGAGGTTATTTACGTGGCGATGGGCAAGCAAGCAGGGTCTGAGCTGGAAAGGAATTCCATCCCCGGAGGCAAGCACGTCAGTTGTGTTAATAGGGGAGATTAGGGCAAGAGAGATTAGGGAGAGAGATTAGCATGAAATGAGCATCCGTCGCCGCATAAGAGTATCATCCCCGTATATTCGCACAACAACAGTGTTAATGGGAGATTAGCACTAGAGGTTAGGCAGGGAGATTAGGGGGATTAGTAAGTTAATGTCATGTCTAAGTGTAACCCAAGCTGCGGCGCTGCAAACTGCGCTGTGAGAGACAAGCGAGTCCACGCAAGAGTACCACCGCAACGGTGGTCGCACTAGTGAGACACAAAGCCCATTGCACAGCCAGAACCATCGATACATCGAGGCTAAGGGAGCAGAAGTGTAGTGATGGTAGCATCACTACTGTGTACACACACACGCGTGTGACGTCACTATGCGGGGAAGTGTCACGACCACGCGGGTCTACACACACACATGACGTCATCCCGGCTGGAGGTAGGAATGACGTTCTGGACTCGGGAGGCCACGAGGGTGGTAAGAGGTCGTGGTACTCTCTGTGACCCCGGCTGGACATGTGACTGGACCCCAGTGGGGGCCGGGGGCCTAGGGGGCACCTCGGGGGGCACGTGGACAGCAGGGGGGGCTTCGAGAGGGTTCTCGAATGGAGGCGTGGCCGGGGCGGGGCCCGGGCACGCCGAGGCCCATATAAGCAGCCTCCTCACGAGGTTCGAGGCTGCCCGTATCAAGAATGAAGATGCATCGTGAAGACGCCAAGAAGAGATCCATGTGTAGGTCCCAGCCGGAGGACTCTAGGATAGCGGTAGACGTGTAAGTAAGTCCCGCCAAGACAGGAGGCTGTACCTCCCTAGAGTATCTGAGAAGTGTGTGTTAGCTAGAGTAAGTCGGTGGTCACCACTCTATGCGTAATGTAAGAGTTAACTGTTGTGTTCATTAATACATAAGTGTTGCCTCCCAAGAAGTTGTGTGTGCACCTAATTCGAATCCACTACAGATGTATGGTCATAGTTAAGCAACATTGCATGAGCAGAGAAGAATTGTGATGTATGAAGAAAATCACTTTTGTGTGTAGAGACAGATTATTGACACAGGAGTAATGAGTTTTCAAGATAGAGCTGCACTTTGAAAATTAAAATCAGGAACAAAAAAGCTACTAGCTTTTAAACACCAATGATAATGATGCTCAGTGCTGCGTCCTTGAACTTGGAGTTTGTTAATTGAGTGGAATACGTTCCATGGAAAGTTTCTGTCAACAGAAAATTCCACCTTCAAATATCCCTGCATTGTGCTCGTGACCTCGAGATGTTTCTCATGCCCAGTTCACATACGCACTGCAGTGTACCAACATGCAATGAACAATGCACGGTAAAAAATACATCACATTCATGGGGGGGGGGGGGGTCACCATTGGGGTGACAACAAAGTTGCCTAAGCCAAACGAGTAGGGAGTATAGTTGCAATGCCCGAGACTCAAATAGGGAAACTAAGTCAACTTATTGAACATTTAAAATTAGTGAAACATTCCATGCTGGCGAATGCAGCTGTCTTGTTTAAAGTACGTGAAACGCTACACTTCCATTAGTTATCAAAGAATGACCAACACTCGTAAATGCAATGATTTTTCTCTGATGCATTTCATATTATTTTAAACTCTTTAAATGTATAACATATACTTTTTATTTATCTTTCTTTAAAGTTCCTGTGGAGAAGACAATTACTCTTTCAGGACATGATGGAGTCATATTATCTAATAATTTTACCCTAGATAACACGTCTTTGACTTATACATTTGTAATACAATCCATGTCTCCAAATGTAATAAAAATTAAATTTGAGAACATAAGGTAAGAAAATATTGTTTGAAACATAAAACACACCACACATCCACACTACAATACACTATACACGGCATGTTTTATCTCGATCACTATCAAATCACGGATTTCAGGAGTTTGCCCCTGTACATTTTAGACATACTTGCAAACCGTGGAGGTTTCGTAAGTTGAAAAATTCGTGGATTACAGGGTAGCGAGCATGTATTTCGGACCAAGGACCCCAATCCGATTTTTCCCATGAGGTCTATTATTTGTTGAACGCGGTTTCGCCCAACACGGAATATTCAAGGAACGTAACCCCGCGTTACATGTATTTTTATGCACTTGACCCTAATGATAAACATGTTAATTACAGTACCCGTTGCAATCAGTAACAGTCAGAGCGGTTCTGTTCTGGAAAATTGTAAGTTACCAATTGTAGTATTCATAAAATTCGGCAATTTTGATAAAAATGAGTTATTGAACTTAATTGAATATTCTGAAATGTTTTAATAGACCTATGTAGACTGAACAATATTTCTAGGATTGATTTATGCAAGAGGTGGCAACCCTATTGATGTAAATACGAAATCATGTTTAGATTTTTAATACTAGCTAGCAGCGACATGAGAAAGCCATATAAGGTTATGCGGTGGCGGGTTTGTTAACTACCACGCCTTGTATGCAGGAGGTCGGGGGTTTGATCGGGACCATGAATCCTGTATATTTGGAGTTTGTATTTTCTCCCCGTGGTGGCATGGATTTTTCTCTGGGTCCTCCGGTTTTTCCCTCCAAATTTGGAAACGTGCTCAGAGTATTTGGCTGTTATAAATTGCCACATTATAAGCCACTTCGTTGAATATCATTTGTGGCCAGGTCGCTTCTGAAAAAGAGGTACATAGCCCAGTGGGCCTTACCTGGTAAAATAAAAAAAAAATGTTTGTTTCAAATTAGTTTTTAAAAAATGCGGATAGAACTCTAACCTTTCCGTTTCATTATACAGCTTGCAAGAGAGCAACTCGTGCGTACTTGAACGCCTCGAGGTTTGGGATGGACTGGTGAGTGAAGGCAATTCCCTGGCTGTGCTCTGCGGGGGAGCTGCTGTCGGCCAACACATCAAGTCCACCAAACAGGTCATCTCCTTGGTGTTAAAGGCAAGAGGACCATTAGATGGTAAGTGCGATTAAATGGCGAGCAAAGTGAACTGAGGTTTCCTTCTAATTTTGACGAATGTTTTCTTAACGTAGTAGCGATCTGATTTAATAAAAACATGTTTAATTTTACTCTTGTAATTATTAGTGACTGCATGTGGGATTATTGTTAATCTGTTGATGGGGACTGAGAGATAGAGTAATGGCCCAAGGTTATGGAAGCCACACAGAACAGGGCACAGTTGGCAAATTACTGTGGAACGGCTATCGGCACAGTTCTTCTTTCGTATGGCATTTTTGGAGATTGCAACAGATTACAAATTGATGTCGAGATTTGATATCTATTCAACTACTTCAGAAGTATCCATGTGTATTTGTTTCAGTTCGCCATTGAAAGATGTTATTGGGCAGTCGTTTACAATGTTGCACGGTCTGAGATGTCGCACCACAGTGACAAACTGGACTCTATTAGTGCCGTGTTACATAGGGGGCACTGAAGAGTGAGATAATGCCACAGCCGTCATCAGTTTTTATTTTTCGGTTGACGTTTCACCTCCCATAGGGACCCCATGGTTTTGAGTTATGTTAATATTTTGATTAACGGTATGTTTACGTTATGCACGCGCTAATTTCGGCCAATCGGAGCGCTTGTAAGTGGGCTGAGCATGCCTTAGCCAATCAGCAAAAGCCATTTATGAGCGTTTAGACCTCGACTGGCTTTGTTTACGTTTTGTCTTGGCAATGGAAATAGCTCTCTTGCAGGCTCAGTGATGTTTTACTTAATTTTCAAATTATAAGGGAATTAATAGTGATTGCAATGTCTCTTAAATCGAATTTAGAAAAGAAAAGAGGTAATAAAGTAATTTCCTTCAAAACAAAGCAGGTCAGTATTGATAATCATGAAAAAGGGGTAAAAACAGTGCAATTATGAGTGAGTTTTGCTTTGAGCCACCATTTTTACAATTTTGCAAAAATAAGGGCAATATTAAAGCTTCCAATGTGAAGGATTCCTCTACCAGGATATTCAAATGTAGGGCTATTATTGTAGAAATGTAAAGACTGCTAATGATATGGATCGGAAGAAGAAAATCGAGGCGAGTCTGTAGATAGCTTCACCATTTTTGAGAGGATTAGAGCTGTCTTCGAAGACAGATTCATGGTTTTAACTGGCAATTCCTAACAGTTATTTTGATGAATATCACTTTTCGTGGAACGGATTAAAAACGTTAACCCAGCGACTACTGTATAATATTCCAATTACGTTGTTATACCTACTATAGTCACCCAGGAATGTCTGTCCTTAACGCTCGTGATGTCACTCCACGTCGACCAGCCCCCCCTCATTAATAATTATGAACAGTTTACGCCCTCCACATTGACCCGACCCTCATTAATAATCATGAGTGGGTGACGTCACTCCGCATGGAGAACCCCCCCCGCCCCTCATTAATAATCATGTGCAGGTGACGTCACTCCACATCGAACAGCCCGCCTCATTAATAATTATGAGCAGGTGATGTCACTCCACATCAAACAGCCCCCCTCATTAATAATCATAACCAGATGATGTACTCCAAATGGATACCCTCCTACATTAATAATAATTAGTGGGTGGCGTCACTCCACATGGTGGGGGGCAAGGCGCCTCCTGCCCCCTCCTCAGCGTCAACTTACAACCCTCACTACAAAGGCAGAACCCTCACGTCACGTGATCTACGTAACGCTATTGCGACATAGAAGTAAAAAGGACGTCATGATGAACAAGGGATTATAACCTTTAAATGAAATAAGTCTGGGTCACCGTGTCCTTACAAATTGCACACGAATGGATGCAGTGAATATGACGTTGTGGTCTGCTTTTTGCTTGCTGCAATACACCTGTAGTGAGTCCAACTGAGTCACAGACGTTAACGTGGGAGCCACACTATTTATTTAACACAACAGAGCCAACATAACATAACCTACGCTCGAGTCTCGAATGCCCATCTAGCCACGCTACGGCAGAACTAGACACGGTTCGCTATTCCGGCCCGGACCACAAGCTGGGTCCCGGACCGCGTGGCTAGAGGCTTCTTCTCCCCGACGTGGATCTTCGAACACCAACACTTGAAGAACCCCGAGCTCCTCACGGAGATCTCATTATATGCCCCTGGGCTGGGGCTGGCTCCGCCTTTAGCCCCGCCCACCTTCCAGGCCCCCGTCCACCGGTGGCCCCCCTCCAGTATCGTCCGGTCACGTGACAACAGGTCAGCCAGAGTGTCATGCCCAGAGTAACCATGGCTGGCTGACGCCCGCTCTCGCTTCCTCACTGGGAGACGGCACCGCACGCTGCTCGCGGTGCCTTCACGCTCACCCGCACTCACCCAACCACCGCTTGTGTTGGTACTGCAGCACGCAACCCGGGCTGCCCGCAATAACAACATCACCGGCTGTGACGCCGCAAGTCCCGGCACCATACCGTAACAATCACAGTCACTACATCACCCCCCCCCCCCTACGTAGCTTCCAGCCGTCCCGGCTGCTAACTCCCTTCAAAGCAACCAACCGACATAACAAACAACAAGTGTGCTCCAACAACATAACAAGGCAACAATAAATAACTCAATCCAACTGTACAATATATACACATGAAAAAAAACAATCGGTCAACCCAACAACCCCGGCGCACGATATCCCCACAATCAACATCTCCCACCTTCAACGTGTAACAATGCTCGTAAGCTCGATAGCGAGCAGGATCAGCCAAATACTGGCCCGTAAATACCCCCTTGGGACATGACGTCACTGTCCCCCAAGGTCTCCCCGACGTCACTCCCTGCGACATCACTCACTACTCCTCTACACATTTACTGTACAAGTTATATTCAACACTAGAACATATTCATCATAATTATACATTCAAAATGCTTCACATTTAATGTTTGCGCTGATGTAGGTCAAAATAAAACTTAAGGAGGGGTGGGTGTCATATTGCGAACCGTGAACCAAACTCCGCGTTTTCCTGTTATCACCATTGCGGCTACTTTTAAGAATGTAACAAGACTCCTGCTGTACAGGACAAAGATTTCCATTGCATTAGGCGAGTGAAAGTGCCCTGCTCCCCATCCAGCTAATCAGCACCCTGCACTGACCACCTCGCGTGCTAGACGGGAACGTGGCCTCCAGCCAATCAGAACGGCGGTGGGAAATTGCATCTAAAACTGTGAGATTGTTTGTCAGAATATTGATGATTCTGATTGGACTTAAGAGCTGTAAATCCGAAAATGCCAAATAACGTGGTGTTGTTAAACTTTCAATTTCACCACAGGTCGAGGCTTCATCGTAAGCTATAGCTCCATTAAAGTAACAAGACGTTCAGAAGGTGAGTACATGCCACAGTACACACTGTCAGTACGTGTAACAAATACACATTAAATACACTATACATTTTACAATGTTTAGGTGTATTACCACTTCTTACTTGAATATTCATTTGAAATGCATTGCAATCCAGTTAGGCTTCTCTTAACAACCCAAAAAACCGCAGGTCTAATTATCCATATAACCTATTGGGTCATCTGCACACTATTTTTACTTTTTATCCGCAGTTACCCGTTTGCTTTCTGTTCTCCAATTGCTCAACAGATTCCGCTTTTTTCGTTACAAGCAGATTCCTGCCATCCTCATCATTTGTATTCAAATGGACATTTTAAAACCCATGAACGAAACAGGTGATAGAGCTCCCTGTGTTCTTCAAATGTCCATTGAAATTACCTACTATAATCACCCAGAAATGTCCTTCCCGCGCGTGACGTCACTCCAAATGAGGCCCACCCCCCGCGTGACGTCACTCCACATTAGGCCCCATCTCATTAATATTTATGAGTGGGTGGATTTTTATGCTAACGCAGAGGAAGGTCGAGCTGTATTAAATAATTTATTACGCAAAGTCGCTTCAAATATGACGTTTCTTTCCAGAAAGTGACGTAAATCTACGCAGCACAGTGCTACATCCGTGCGTGACGTCACTGCAAAAGAGCCCCCTCCCCCCCTTCATTTATATTCATGCCCGCGTGTAAATGTACACTAACGCACAAGGTCACGTACTCCTCCCCTCATTAATAATCATGAGTTGGTGACGTCACTCCACATGCCGCACCCCTCCCCAATAACCATTAGCGGGTGACATCACTCCACATGGGGCAACCCCCCCCTCCCTCATTAATAATCATAAGCTGAACAATTTTTCTATTGAATATTTCAGATATACTGCAATATACACCCGTCCTTAGACGGGCAGAAAAGCTAGTGCTAAATAATCGACATGTAATCCCTCTTCATTCCCTGATAACATCTCAACGGATGTGTATGGTCAGGGCACTTTGCATATGTAATTGCATAGACAGTGGGGAAGGGGTGCTCATAGGTCATCCATGGACGCAATTCCATGGATGACTCATGAGTATTTAAAAGGACAATTGATTGTACAGCGCACGTGCACTGGAATAGTGTACTGTGTGCACGATTTCACAAATATGCACACAAGCTGCATGTATCACACACGCAGAGGCCACTTTGGAATTCATGATTTTTGAGTGTGTGAATAAGTGGAGTTAGCGAGTAAATGCATCCAATTATCCACAGATTATGATTATTCATAGGATTTCCACCTGACCCAGTCTGGTAGTTTACATCTGTATTCGGTGGCAGGAATTGATTCGTGCCGAGATGTTGTGGAATTTCATTGAACTTTTATTACAGGATTCTATAGCTGACTGAGAAATATGTTTGGGTTTGGTCCATGAAAAAGGCAGCAACACGAGTTATTTGTTTAACTTGACCGGCTGTTATCCCTGTCATTGATTTTCGTAAAATCGTCACTACTCGTATGATTCACATTTCTTCAAAGATAAGTGCAGTTCATCAATACATAATTTTGTATTATATACATTCTGCGAGTTGTTTTGTTGTTAAAGATGAGTGGAGTAAATATGAATGGGGTCAGGCATAACTTTGAGGATAATAAATACGATCCGCAATGTTTATTCCCCACATCACCGCGGATAAGACGACTTCTATTGTTGAAAAGCTTTTTTTTATTTGGATGAGTCTTTTATCATTTTCCACATTCTTTTTACATTCTTTTTTAGTCCCTGCACCTTGTGGGATAACAGCAGATAACACGGTTCAACTGCAGAACATGTATGGTTATTCCTCTTGCGCTGCTGTGTTCATTGGAAGTCGATGGATACTGGTTGCAGCAAACTGCGTGTACAAGTGAGTTTCGCGTATGCTATATGTGTCTGTACAGTGTTCATGTAATGTGTGGTGCAATTAAAATGTGCATTTAATTGACAATATCTTCTGTAAAATTATTAGTGAACAACTTCATATAGATTATAAAGAAAACAGAATCTAAACACATTCATAAATAACACTAACTTAAAATAAATCTAATCAGCTCGTTTTGTAAAATGGCCAATCTTGATAGCACTTAACGATCGATAAATGCCAGAGAAACATTGAGTTATGATTAAAAATAATGAATAAAAATAATTATTACGATCAATGTTTAAATAAGGATATTAATGACGGCTTCATAGTAACTATTTAGTAACACAAAAATACCTCAACATTGAATATGTATAATTCAAATTAACTCATTTATATCTGTGGGATCCTTTTTGCCAGTGTCAAAATAATGAAAGAAATAATAGGCGTTACCGTTACCAGCAATAATGCACTGTTTAGATCTTCAAACACCAAATATACACCTAAAAAGGGTCCCATAGATATAACTGCTCAACCCAATCTATTAATGCTTTGATATTTGTGTTGCCTTTGTGTTGTTCACCTTTTGGCATGCTCTCGTCTAACACCTGTGCATAGACAAGGCCATAAAGGAGGCTATCTCTGGTATAGACCAATTAGTTTCAAGGGCAATGCATACATTATTGTCAAACCATGTTTGTTTGCATGTTTTACTACAAGCATGTGTGGTGAATACTGACTTGCAATAGATCTATTTTTAGTGTTTGAATATCTTAACACAACTCCTCCTGTATTATTGCCAGAAAGGGTAAAGCCGATTATTTTTCATCATCTTGATACCGGCAAAAAGGGTCCCATAGTTAAATGTAAATAGTGATACTAGACAATACTGGTTTGTCTCGTACAGCCAATGATTTGAACGAGGTTCCCCATAACACAATGAATACATTTCCAACTAACATGACTATAATAAATTAGAATGTAATTTTAAAGAAGTTTTATCTGCTATGTATTTTGCTCTTTTTACGAGTGATATATTCCAAATGTGTACAATGTTGTTTGCCACTGGATAATGTAGACATGTAAAAACAACTGAATGATCAAGTATCTATTTCGAGGAGCTGAAAGGGCTTTCTGGGAGGGACGAGATGAAGTGGAGGAGCGAGGGGAGGGAAGAGGAAGGGAATGGGCAATAGAGGAGAGGCTTTAAGAGAGGAATAGAAGGAGGCTAAGGAGGGGGCTGCTTAATGTACAGGGGCAGTGTGGAGTCTATGGGCAGTGTTGGGTCTTTGGTCAGTGTTGGCTGTATGGGCAATGCTGCTTAATGTATAGGGCAAATTGATTCCAGTGGAGGGGTGCAAGGAAGGAGAAAGATTGGAAATTAGATTGGGCACAGGGAGAAGGAGAGATAGAGATTGACAGAAAATTGTGAAAGAAGAGCACGAGAGGGGACATGATGGGAGAAGCAAGATAAGGTGGGACACAGCAATGAGAGATTAATGTGTTAACATACGTTTAAAAGTAAGTCATGAAGAAATCATAAAATTGGCTTTGAAAAATCCAAGTGTTAACATCATGCTTTTTGATGTGTGATGTAATTCTTGATAATGTACAATGTAGAATAAGAGTTTGCGAGTGTGCCAATTAAATATTATTACGGAGTGCCACGTTATTCATGAGCCCTATCTGAGGTGCAATCTGGCAATCAACCTCCCTCCATGCTGTTGGTTGGTTGGTCGTATGAATGCATCGGTAGATTGCCTGTGGTGGGGTAGAGTGTTTCGTGGAGGTCATATTGCCAACAGTGGCGTGAGCGATTAATAGCAGAGCTTCACCTTTGCATTTTTTTTACTCGACATGTAGTCCTACTAATTTACAGGCAAATATACATTATTTCTCATAAAATTTATTTAAAATAGTAATATTTTATGATTGATATGAGCTTATGCCTCCAAATGGAATCACTGTAGACGATTTAGATACAACATCAGAACGTGTAGTCTGTGCTTCATATACCACGAGATGAATATACAGTATTTGAATACAAAATTTAAGTTAATATAATCTTTATTCATGTGCGTGTGATTTTCAGCCGACCAACTTATGAGTGGAGAGTGAATTGGTGGCAATTAATTGCCATCTATTGGTGGGGATCGAATTGGAACTGGGTTGGGAATATTCCAGTGGCCAATGTATTTTTACACCCAAAGTACAATGTCTCCCTCCCTGACTACGACATAGCTGTGGTGGAGTTAAGTCAAACCATACAGCCATCGGAGCATCTAAAGCCAGCATGTTTGCCATATTTTTCTGAACCGGTACCTTATCCGGGAAAATACTGCTACCTTTACAAAAGTAAGTGTTGTTCACGCATTTACAGCATGATAGCAAGTCCTCGTTTAACGTGGTAGTGGATACGTTCCTAAAAAGCGCTACGTTTCCCAAAAAACGTGCTAAGCGAAAACATTTGCCTATGAATAATGTAACGATAAAGTTCGGCGAGATGTACCACACACCACACAGTGAAATGGCAGGACAAATAACCGAGGGTACGGTGCCACTGTTTCTGTATCATTGCACGTACCGTATCACTATCGCTCAGCCACACATTCAAGAAAATAGTTCGTCATCAACCGCTCAAAAACCGGGTTATAATGGTGCACGTTCAGTGTTATAACGGTGCGCATTCCGCATTGTATGGAAAACTCTTCCCTAATTGGAGAACTGCATTTATAGATAAAATGCGGTGTATTAACACAACAAGTTAATGGAGGACTTTCCATATTTTGAGTCTGCACGTTCTCTCTCCCTGTGGTGGTCGCATGTTTTTTAATCCGGATGCCACCTCCACATTTCGAATCAAAATGCCTTTACATTATTTAGCTGCTACTATAAATTCCCACGTGCTGATATAAGCCGCTTCGATGAGCTATCATCACGTGTAGCCAGGTCACTTCTGAAAAAAGCAAATAGCACTGTGGACTTCACCTGGTGAACACAGTAACATTGTATTTTTTTTTACTTATTCATGATGTGTCTGTGTGTACTGGTTGTTTAGCCTCAGGCAGACAGATTGCACCCTTCAGCATCATCGACACGAATGAGTGCAAATCTTTCCAGTACAACAACAGCGGCATCACCAGTCGGATGATCTGCACGGAGTCTGCAACATGTGTGGTAGGTGATAGGATGAAACATTATGGCGATGTATACCGATATTTACATTTTGTGCAAAGATGCAATATTTGTATTATTTTGGCACGGGTTATTTTAAATCTAAACTTTAATTCTCACACATGGCCTCTGCTCCTTCAACTCCACTGGCCTCCCTTTGTAACGACTGACGATGATGTAATACGAGCCAATTTTTTGGGACACAGCCACAATACGGGACCCTAGGTTTCGTTTTTTTCCTTAAGCGTGTAACTTCCTTTGAACATCCCCACTCCTCGTGCTCTTCCCTTTTATTCTCCTCGAGCCCCCTTTCTGGAACCGTCTGTCACTGTTTTTCCCTGAGCCAATCCCTGATCTTCCTCTATAATGGATCCTCTCTGTTTTCTGCCTAATCCCGTTCAAATTGTATTCCTCCAATCCCTTTAAAAGTCTGCCTCCTGACAAATCACCATGGAGGCCTCTTTCGGCCAATTTGAAACTGCATTTTTATGCTGCATTTTGGCTTGGGGTGAGTGGTTGCTAATTTTGGTCATTCCACCTTTACTTTTCCGCTGTCTTTTCAAACACCTGACGCTAGTGTAGCTGGTCCACCCTGTCCCTCTCCTATCGTTAATCCTTGCGAAGGGGACAGGTAGGCTAAATAGATAGCAATAATAAAAATACAGTTTGGAGACAATGAGTAGGTCATCTGCATTGTGTTTTGTACTCCGGAGAAGTGGCCAACTCTACAACAGCTGAGCACCAGGGGTTTGTGAATTGGGCAAACTTTATTTCAAAGTCTTCACAACACTGTAGCTGAATTCATATGTTAATGGGATTGAGCGCCAGTCTTAATATTCTAGACACAATTATTATTATTTTATATTTTGAAAGCAAAATGTATATCAGTGATAATTGTGCATACCTTCATTACCACCGATAACTAAACAACAGTCAATTGACATTAGTGAGTTCCTGTCAGTCGATTGACATTCAAGTAATATAAAATTAACAGTTATTTAAAATTGGAGCTCATGTAATATGCAGCTCACCAGCACGAAGTCCGCGAAAATCTAAATTGGGGGCATGCCCCGGACGCTGCTGTGCACGATGGGAGTCGGGGTCCAATCGCTGATCACCATTTGCATTCACTTATATTTTCTTTAAACGCATTTGGCTACCCGTAGCTATACAAAAAGCTTTCTTCGGTTCCCATATATGTGCTGCAGAGTGTACAATTATACGTGATTAATTACAGGTAAGAATACAACGGCTACACTAGTCTTTTAATCTAGTCATAGCTTTGCTCCACCTTGTCTTGCGTTTCTCATCTCCTTACATGTCCCTTCTCGTCCTCTGTGTTCCCAATCTTCTGTCACTCCTTTTCCCTGTGCCCAATCGGTCGTTTCCCCTCTTTATACCCCTCCACTGGATTCAACTTCCCTTGTACATTAAGCAGCACTGCCCATATCGAGATGGTGGCAATATGTTAACGATGGGTAGTGCTGATAATGTTACAATGCTAGATAGTTAACATTTTGCACGGTGGCAAGATTTTAACAAGCTCGCCTGGCGTGCAGGAGGATGTGGGTTCGATCCCAATCCTGACACCTGAATATTTGAAGTTTGAATGTTCTCCCCGTGGTATCGTGGATTTTCCCTCTACATTTAGAAACACGCATTTAGAGTATATTCTTGATTCTTTTGGTAAAGTCACGTAGATATAAAATAAAATAAATAATTAAATTGGATTTAACTGTTAAATAAAAATAAATGCAAAAAACACGTTTCGATCGCAACACAAGCCTGATGAAGACCGCTTGTGTTGCGATCAAATCGTCGTGGGTTTTATTATTTTATATATCTATGTAACTTTACCGAAAAAAACAAGAATATGAATTCCTGTAGTCACGAAAGTTTTAAATCAAAATTTTTCGCATTTAGATTATTTGGCTGCTTTCCACAAGCCACTTTGTTGAGCTCTCATTTGTGGCCAGGCTGTTTCTGAAGAAGAGCTACATACCTGGTAAAATAAAAACATAGTTTATAGTTTTCAAATAAAAATAGTTTATGGTTTTAACACTGCCCATAGAATCAACACTGCCCATAGACTCAACACTAACCTATATAGATTCTTTGGTTCTTTCGGTAAAGTCACGCAGATATAAAATAAAATACGAAAGCTTCAAATCAAGACTACCTATATACTCACTACTGCCCCTGTACATGAAACAGTCCACCTCCTTAACCTCCTTCTGTTCCTCTATCAAAGCCTCACTACCTCTTTTCCACAGCCCATTCTCTTCCCTCCCCTCGCCCCTCTCCTTCCCTTCCCTCCCCTATAGCCCCATTCATGATCCCCTGTGAGTACCCCTCTATCGCTGCTGTCACTCATTCCTCAACACTCGTAGCACGCCCCCTGTCAACTCCGTTCTGTCACCGCTTTGTAGGCTGCATCAAGCGCTTTCAGTGAAGGCGCTGTATAAATATACAATTACATTGGAAATTAGATATACTGTATACAAATTCAAAGTGATTTATTGCTGAAACGAGCATTGGGAAGTTGCTCATCTACCGTATACAGCCCCGAGGCAGTGGACATAACAATATTCATAGAACTACCACTGAATGGTCCTCCTTTTATCCACATCCAGTATGCATTAACCACACATGCTTGTTGTAAAACATGCAATCGAACATGCTTTAATAATAATGTATGCATTCTCTTTGAAACGGATTGGCCTACACCAGAGACAGCCTCCTTTATGGCCCTGTCTCCCCAGTGTTAGACCAGAGAACAACGGTAAAAGGTGAACAGCACAAAGGCAATGCAAATATCAGAACACGAATAGGTCCGGTTGAGCAATTATATCTGCAAACAGCATTCGTTTGAACGTTTTCCTACAAACATGATTTGTGGTTAATGCAGACTTGAAGCCTTGCAGGTCTGGGTTTGGTGTTTGAACATCTTAACACCGTGTTTTTTTTACGGAAAAGGTAAAGCCTGTTGTTTCATCTTTTTGTTACAGGTAAAATTGGATTCCATAGATATAATTTTTCTTTCAACACATTTTGTCTGAATGGCCAAATACTAATTTGAAGCGTGGCTGCATGTGTTTTGGAATAAAACAAAAGTTGAATTAATTCTGTCCTCTTGTATTTCAGGATAAAGATACCCAAATCTTGATGTGTCAAGGGGCGGATGGCCTGTGGTACGTGACGGGCATTGGTAATCGTCTGGCGCGGTGTGAGACCAATGACGTAGATCTGCGCGTCTTCGCAAGGGTTTGGAAATTCTTAGGCTTCATTAAACTAATCTCGGGCCTAGAATCCCACAGAACAAATTAGCAGTGTACAGTATGGAAGAAAACAAAAGACAAAATTAACATCAAACTAGCATCACATTTATCTATGGGACCCTTTTTTTGCCTGCATCAAAATTGTGCAAAAAATATGCTTTACCCTTTCTGGCAATAATTCAGGAGGTGCTAAGTTATTGTGGTTAAATATGCAAACATGTTGATACCGGCAAAAAGGGTTCTATAGATATAACTGCTCAACCCGAGCTATTCATATTTCTACAGACTGGTTACATTTTTTATTAGTACGTTATCATGCGTACGTAAAAAAATAATCTAGTTTGATTCTTTCATTTTTTTTAATGTTATCCTTTAATGCAAATTACATTTTAATCGAATAAATATAATTGCTCAACTAAATATAATACATTATATGGTATGGAATTTATCAAATATGCCAGATTTGTTTAAGGGGAACTGGGTATTTTTGAGATATTGTGATATAAATGTGATCATATTGTTACATTGTCAGTGAGCGGAAGTTCATGAAAAATGTGAGAGTGGACAGGTGCAGTCGGATAAATCGATTTATGCTACATTACCATCTTTAACAACTTTCATGAAAATTGGGATGTTGCCCTTGGTTTATAATTTTCCTCCCAGGTAAACATTGCAACTTCGTGAGCGGCATAGCCAGGGCCGGATTATGACATTGCTGGGACTCTAAGCTATGTCGGCGTAGGGTTTGTAAATCGAGGAATGCCTGCTTCATTTTGTTATATCGGAATGAAAATAACGTTTTAGAGTAATTTTCCCTATATCGTTTATTGTTCAACATATTACGTATAACTTCTAAGTTTTCTAATTCTTTTTTTATAGAGGCCTCTCATAATGCCAGACCCTATGCTGTAGCTTTATTAGCTTTTACCTAAATCCGACACTGGGCAGAGCATCTCCTCTCCGGAGAGAGCACACGTGTGCTTTTGGCATCTCACCCAGGTGTCTGCTGGACTCAGGGAACTGCGGAGAGAACGTGCCATCCTCATTCAATACAGCCGAGGCTTGGGATTGGCCGATACAGTCAGCCAATCGGTGGTAGTTGTTGAGCAGATATTAGACACGCCTCCTCAATTAACATAAAAACACAAAAAACACCTATTTTATTTACAAGGCAAAGCCCACTGCTCTTTTTCAAATGATAGCTCAAGAAAGGAGCTTATCATGTGGAAATGTTTAGTAGCAGCCAAATACTGTAAACGCATGTTACTCATTGTGAAGTAAAAAACCAGAGGTCCCAGAAAAAATCCATGCGATCACAGGAAGAACATGTAAACTCCAAATATATAGGCGTTATGGTTGGGACTAAACCCAAGACCTCCCGCATACCAGGAGAGGGAGATAACATATCCCCACCACTGATGTAAGGAAGGGCTAACATATCCTTGGGTTAAAGCTTTGAAGAATTCAGGGACATCCTCGCCCATTGACTCAACACTGCCCCTGTACGTGAGCAGTCCCCCTCCTTAACCTCCTTTCCGTTCCTCTATTGAAGCCCCACCTCTTCTTCGCATGAATGGTCATACATATATGTTAGGCTAAATTGCAAGTCCTGCATTACAGTTTGAACTTAGATCCCTATTTTACATCACAATTAAGGAACCCTTATGTTTGACGAAACGGTTGAATAAATTCATGTATTCTGAAGCTGACAATATAAACTTTTATATTAATATATTACGTGATTGCAATATTAGATTGTATTATGGGCATATGCAGATGTTGAGAATTACAACGCTGTAATTTAAGTATTTTGGGAATAAAGGATGTTTAAAAAAAGTATCAATCTGTTCCTTTCCTGTTTTCTATTAATGTTTTAAATATAATACCCTATATGTTAAATTCTAAACATAGCAATGAATTAACTTGGTTTGCTAGGTGGCCAGGTGATAGCGGTGCTGCAATGGATTATTGAATACATCTGTGCACAACTATAAGCGTTGCTGCCTCGTATATGAGGCAGTGGTCTGTCACTGTGAGGGTTGCTCTTTTTTATCAATAAGGGAGAGAGAGAATTTGGGCTCCATTTTCTCTCCCATGCAATCCCCTTAATATAGGACACCAATGCGGACTTTTAAACGTCCTTTAACGGTAACAGAAAGATAGACAATTCAATCCGGAATACAGAGAATCTTAACAAGATTTGGAATTTATAAACTATTTTTTTTATTCAATCTAGATTTGAAGCTTTCGTGGCTGCAGGAATCCATACTCTTCGGTTCTATTGGTAAAGTCACGTAGGTAGAAATAGAATAAAATAAATCACGACGTTTCGGGGGCAACACAAGCCTCCGTCATCAGGTGATAAATGGGGAGACACCATCTCGAGAAAGGGTTTATATATGTTTGCTTGTGCCTAAACGTCGGTCTAGACGGATTAACAAGTTTTAAGGGAATATGTAAATAAGTTATTAGCATACGGATGTAAAGAAGTTATTAGAAAGGTTCGTAAAGGGGATGTTAACATCCGTGGGCTCGATGAAGTCACGCAGAAACTGAGCAAAGGCAGCCGTGTTGTCCACTGCGGAGAAGCAGAAGCAGCTGCGATTTCTGCTGTAGCAGCAGTGCTGTCTGCTGGCCTGTGAGAGGATCACAGCGAGTTCGGACAAACCTGGTTAACGACAAACTTATGCAAGTACAGGTTTGTAAAACGTTTGAGAAGGCCAAGAGCATAGGCATATGCTTGTACACAAGTGATACGTTTGAGAAGGATTAAATAAGTTAATAGCATGTTGAGAGGCCCATCGCCACATATATAACCTTGTTGTAACTGCTCTCTCGCTTGTTCAGCAGTTCCACTGCTGGATTATATTTTTTCTGCCTGAGGACGACCGCTTCTATTGCGATCGAAACGTGATTTATTTTATTTTATACCTACGTGACTGTACCGAAAGAACCAAATGGTATGTATAACGAGCTTTGGGAAAGAGAGTCGCATGTTAAGGTTAATGAACTCGGTAAAGTAATGCAGGTAGACTGACCGCAAGGGCGGCCGAGTTGTCTACTGCGGAGGAGCAGAAGCAACCGCGTTGTCTGCTGGAGCCACAGTGCTGTCTGCTGGGCTGTGAGGATCATAGTGAGTTCGGGCCAACCTGATTAATGACGTCCTTCCAGTGGTTATTCAGCTTATTCCCATCTTCTCGGTTGAAGTTGCCTCTAAATTTATAGATCTGGATGGCTTCATGGACAAATCTTTGATGGTAGCCTGAAGGTTTGCAGAGTACCTTGGTCTCAGAAAAAAAAAACGTTATCATGCGAGCCCACCGTGTTGTAACAATGGTCGGCAACAGCTGAGGTGTTGGTTCTGCCGTGTTTCAGATCTGCCTTGTGTTCGCGAACCCGGTCCGAGATATGTCGTTTCGTTTCCCCAATGTAACTACTGCCGCAGGTACAACTTAGTTTGTAGACTACAGGGTATTGTAGGTCAGGAATTACCTCCTTCACCGATGGGATCAAGTCACGGATTTTGTGTACTGTATTGAATCGGACCTGAATCCCATGTTTGTTTAAGATTTTGGAGATATTCTTGGTAACACCTGCTATGTATGGTAAAGTGATGGTTTGATTGGATTCTCAGATGGTTGTTTCTCCGTGGTTGGAGAAACAGCATTTCGAATAGTGTGGTCCGAGTATCCATTCATCCTGAGGGCCTGGTGTGCGTGCTCCAGATCACTGGATAGGTGGTGTTGGTCGGAGATGCAGTGGGCCCTATGGTGTAGTGTTTTGATGAGGGAATTCTTCTGGGCCGGGTGATGGTGGGAGGGCTTAAGATAGAAATCCATATGGGTGGCTTTCCTGTAGACCGAATGTCCCAACGAGCCATCAGGTATCTTTTCAATCAGAACATTCAAGAATGGTAGCTTGCCATCCTTCTCCACTTCCATGGTGAATTTGATGGATGGGTGTATGGCATTGATGTGGATGACAAATTGGTTCAGTGCTGGCAGGCCATGTGGCCAGATGACGAAAGTGTCATCAACGTATCTCTTCCACAAGGAAGGACATAGGGTGGGATGTCTGGATGGCATCTGTTTCAAGTTTCTCCATGAAAACATTTGCTACCATTGGTGAAATGCTGTTTATCCAACCACGGAGAAACAACCATCTGAGAATCCAATCAAAACCATCACTTTACCATACATAGCAGGTGTTACCAAAAATATCTCCAAAATATTAAACAAACACAGGATCCAGGTCCGATTCAATACAGTACACAAAATTGGTGATCTGATCCCATCGGTGAAGGCAGTCATTCCTGACCTACAATGTCCTGGAGTCTACAAACTGAGTTGTACCTGTGGTGGGTGTTACATTGCAGAAACGAAACGACATATCTCGGACCGGGTTCGCAAACACAAGGCAGATCTGGAACACGGCAGAACCAACACCTCCGCCATTGCCGACCATTGTTACAACACGGTGGGCTCGCACGATATTGTATTTTCCGAGCCCAAGGTACTCTGCAAACCTTCAGGCTACCATCAAAGATTTGTCCATGAAGCCATCCATATCTATAAACATAGAGACAACTTCAACCGAAAATATGGGTATAAGCTGAATAACCACTGGAAGGATGTCATTATGTTGTATATGTAGGTTATGAAAATTTGATGAAAAGAATAAAAATTAAATGAAATTTTGAAAATTACATAATTATCCTAAATTATGTTAACTCCTGTAATTTTGTGCATAAATTATGCTAAATCGAGATACTCGTATTTCTTTAAGTGAGTGCGTGCGATTATGCTAATGTGTACCGTTATGATAACCAGGCCCCGCCTCGTTGACGAGGGTCGGTTATCAATCGGGATAATGCAATTAATCGTATGCAGTTATGCAGGTGCTGTGAGCATGCCAGAGTCAACTTGGCTTCGTTGTTTAACTTCGTATTATCGATCGGTATAATACAATTATTCTCGCTTTAACATTCACTGGGTGTATTAGTGTGTTTATGCCAAGTCTCCAAGTTCAGATCTCAGCGCAGAATACAGTTCTTATGCATAAATTTCAGGAAAGAACACACAACACTTCTGCGTTAATCAATTTTATTTCTAACTAAATTTTAACTCTATAAGATGCAACTCTCAATCTTGGAATTTCAACACAGTATCAATACAGTATCAACGACTGCATGGTTTCACTTTGACAACGGCACATTTATTCATTCCCCCGCGTAACGCGAGCTCAGTTGGCGAGAGAGTCGTTAAAAAAAACATGCATTCGCTATTCTAAACAAAAACCTTAACTTTATAATATACTTAAAAATTGCTCACACAGTACTGCATCCATTCATAGACCTTCAAGGCAATTCTTATCACGTTGTTTCACTTTGGGTCACGGAGCAGTTGGTTATTATGCAGTGTAACACGAGCATATGGAAAATATGAATAAAGTCCTTAATATTATGCGACGGTATTCATACGAAAAGCAATAAAACTATTATTCCTAAAGGCACAAATATGCGTTCATATATTCATCAGCAGATTGTATAATTAAAGAGATGGCTTGGAGTAAGGTGTGCGGCGGGACGTGCCATCTCACGGGAGATCCATTAATTCGTGTACAAGATTGTATAAGGAAACCGGTTTAACACAATTTCTCCCCGTGATCATAGCTCCGTGGTGAAGGTGTCAAGAATTAATTCGTATTGATGAATCTATGGGTAATTTATGCGATTAGAAGTACAATCACAAAACGAAGAACAACATTTTTTATAAAAAAAAAATAATTATTGTACTTATAACCGACAGATTGTTATCACCCAATCTGTGATGCCTTCATGGCCAGCTGATGGTTAATTAGTCTTAGTGTGTAGGTTCATTAGATTGTTCTTTTGGTAAATTCTTGTGTGAGCAGACGACGTAAGCGTCGCGGGTTTGTGAAGGTGGGGGATGGGCATACGAACAACGGCGGTTCCCTCTCGCTCGGCGTGTCTCACGCCGCCGGGTGATGAGCTCGCCGGCATGCTGCCCTCTCCTGGTGCTGCTCGAACGCGCTCAGTTGGCCCGCAGGCGGCTGAGGCTCCTTTCACTGCTGGATGAGCTGCGCCGGCACGCTCCCTCTCCTTGAAGATGTGCGATCGCGCTCGTGCTGGTTCGCTGACAGCAGGCTCTCTCCACTGCTGTAGTAGCTGCGCCGCTCGCGCTCTCTCTGTGGAGATGCGCGATCGGCGCTCGTGCTGGTTCGCTGACAGCAGGTTCTCTCCACTGCTGGATGGCCAAGTCGGCACACGCTTAGCCGCTGGCAGCAGACACTATTGCTTGGTGCGTCAATGATGGCTGATCTTCTGATGGTCGCGCTGCAGCTGGGAGCTGGCACTCGATGTAGAATAAAACTTTCAGCGATACTCTGTCTGCCCATGCCGAACTCAGCACAGAGCACCTCCTCGCCCCCCTTCTCTGCGAGACACAGTACCCATTGCTAATGTCTCGAGGCCATGCCTCAAAGCTGACTTGATGTCTTCTTCCGAATCGATGGTCGCCGTCTCCTGCGACTGGTCGTGCCTTGTTGAACTCGCTGTTCCTTGTTGAACTGGTTTTCGAGAAGATGGTTGAACTGTTATATTCGAAAAAAAAATCTCCGCTCTGCGCAGTGGGGGGTGTGTGTGTGCGTCCGGTCGGCCCTCCCGTGCGACCTTTTCTCTACGCACAAAGGGCGTTAAGGCTTTTAAAGTTACATTTATTCTATCACGGTTTGGAATCGTACCACTTGCAGTTATGATTCTGTCTGTGACTCAAGGTATTTGGTTTTATTTCCACGAGGAGATGATGCTCTCTTGAGCGTATGCATATTCTTATCACGTGCTGCGGGAAGACAAAGACGGCCAGGAGGCTCTCTCTCTGGCTAGCCCTTCGGTTTAACGTCGCTCAAATATCATTTGGTTTAATGTTTAACAAGGTTGTGATTCACCCCGTTATCCTGGCCCTTCCTCAGTTTTTATTAATTTCGTCGTTCCGTGTGTATGCTTATCATTTATATCATTTTATTTCCGATATCCTGGGTTAAGAGGTATGTTTCTTGATCCTGGGAATTCGTATTCCTTGGTATTTGCAAGGTTATATAAACGGAATATAGTTTACAG